CTTACGGGAAGACCATGCATGCTGGCTCGGATTGGAGCATATAACCCCAAGTTCCTTAACTCCCGATCCCAACGATTGAGTACGTAGTTGGTCATCCTAGCCCACCATTTGTCTGGAAGAGAATGAACCCATCCATAACATCTGAACCTTTGGATAGGGAATTCTCTGCCAACCCGAGCGAGCCTATTCTTTACTGTGCTAGCCTTTATCATCAGTTCATTTTGAGGCCCACTATCTGGTCCAAATATCCCCGGGTGAAGACCACGAACAGTATACCTACCGCTGGAGCCAGGAGCGCTGACGTCTTTACCAATGAAACCGTAATGAATGCGTTCATGGTCATCTGTCAAGTGCCACGACATCTTCCTCGAGACGGCCAGATTCCTTAATTGCAGAATTGAATATTGTCGAGGAAATAGGGGAAGGAATAGAAAGGCACCTTCGTATTCATTCAGCCAAATTTCGGGGTCACGGCAAAGATTATCCGGATCTTCAATCGAGTTCCCGAATAAATAATCAGGCTTCTTCAACGGCTCGGTAGAATCTCGGATTGGCGTTAAGGGCGAGTCAGTCAACAGTGCACGCAGAGTGCGACTACTTCCCTCACGAATCAACTCCGGAACGCTATCATCACAACCTTCACTAAACTGACGGGCTTCTCTAACCAGGAAGTCACCGTTGAAAGAGGCGTGAAGGATACCACTCTGGCCTGGGTCTTCTCTATCAGAAAATACCACAGAGGGAAAAGGAACTACAGAGGAAAGTTGGAAAGCAGTTGAATAAAAAGGCTAAACAAAGCAAAACCCCCGCACTTAGTAGCCGCGGCAATAGTTGCTGTCGTGCGTTACCGCGGCAGCATACGCTGTCGCGCTCAGGCGCGACAGTACGAGCTGCCACCCTTGGTTTCAAAAAAAAAAAAAAAAAAAAAAACCAAGAGTTTGAGCCAAGTTCGTATTTTGGCCGTGGTACTTATCTTGATCAAACAAGATATGTATTTTGTAGTATCAATCCTCTCGATGGAGGATGTCAACTCTTCCCGGATGTCCCTCAAAGGGGGCAAGCGAGGTTATATGGGCAAAAACAATAATTTTGAAAGGGGGAAACGTTGAAAAGTCACCTCCAAACGAAATGGCAGCGGCCTCCGTCTCCTCCGATGCTTGGGCTGCAGTTTTACCCTTGGGAACCCTAGATCTCTTGGGCGACATAGTGAAGAGGAGGGTTTCTGACCTAAGATGCAAAGAAGTTAGGGTTTTGGTGAAATCTCCAACAAAAGCTTAAGAATATAAAGAAAACCGAAGACCTAAGAGTGGTTCTTACCAGAAGTTGAACAAAATCAAGTCTTGATGGTGAAAGAACCGAAAGGAAAACTCAGGGCCAAGAAGAATGCTCAAAACCCTAGATCTCTTTTGAAGAAAAATCAACCAAATATGAAGAGGTGAGAGGGGGAAAAGCCAAAGAAAGCCTTTTATAGGGTGTTTGAGGAGGTTTCGAACTCAGAAAAGCGGGGAAAAATGACCCGAAAAGGCCTAACATTGGTCTTATAACCCGACTGGCCGAAGCGGTGCGCGACACTTTATGCTGTCACGCTCAAGCGCGGCACACTACGCTGTCGCGCTCAAGCGCGACAGTATAGGCTGTCGCGGCAATTGATGCTGTCATAGTCCACACTGTCACGCAGGGGCGTGGTGCATACACAATAATCCCTTGGGTACATACATCTCCCGCTGTATTTGGAATGTGTACCCGAACACTCCGATGAGTATATGAGTATAAACTGCATCTCCTTGAACCTCCCAACGGGTATATGAGGTTAAACTATTTCCCGAAAACTCCAATAGAGTATATGAGTATAAACTATTTCTCTATTCTTCGACGGCAGTTCAAATTCAAGACTTCGACAACGGCCACGCGATAAACGCAGCACCGGAGGAATTTTAGCTATTCTACAAAGCATTGAATAGGCTAAAAGATGAAGAAGTCAAGAATTGAAGTCATCCATAGACTATGTTACGCAACTTCCTCAACAAAGTACTGAAGAAATTACAAGGAAAACTTATCATATCCAAAGTGTCCCAGACTCCTCTCCAAAAAATAATGAGTCTGAGATACTTTGGAGGGGGTATCTGTAGGCGTTAAAAAATGCTTACAGACATCCAAATACTACTCAAGACAAAGAAACGACGATAAACGCCATCCTCTTAGTCAGAGGGAATCATTCAAAGGAAGTGAGATAACATGTACACACCAACAGACAGTACTTAGTGCCGCGGCTAAGGCGCGGCAGCTCATGGTGTCGCGGCCATGGCGCGGCAGCATATGGTGCCGCGGCAGCATATGGTGTCGCGGCTATTGCAAGGGGTGTTGCGGCGGTTACAAGATAGTTGTATGATGATTTTTTGAAGCCCACGTGGCAGCATATCAGAAATAGAACATGTGCTGACGTGTACAAGCAGTTAAACCACGAAAAAGATGGTTAAAGGTCGTGGGAGAACGGTTTCAAGCACGATGAAACGTGCTGGTAACTGCCTCTTTGGCCGCGGCAGTCCCCACTGCCGCGCCAATAGCCGAACTGCCTCTTCGGCCGCGGCAGCTTACACTGCCGCGCCAATAGCCGCGGCAGTGTAGACTGCAGCGGCCAAAGAGAAATCATCTGGTCAGTTATTTTACCCCCGTTTCAACTGTTGTGCACTTCGATCCCTATAAATACCTCCCTAGACACGAAATAAAGGACAGAGAGCATTTTGGAGCAGAAGAGACTTGAGCTTTTGGTGATTTTGAGGAAGAAAGAGAGAACTTTCACCCTTTGACAAGCATCATTTGGTGATTCCTAGAGATCTAAGCTCAGACTTAATCTTTGGAAGATTGAACATCTTACATCGATAAGATATTCGCTTTCAAATCTTTACTTCGATAAATGAAGGAAAGATCTCTAAACACCCTCACGATCTGTGAATCGGTGGTCAACGAGCCAAAGCACTCCCGGCACAGGCAAAGTCCCACAAAAGCAGGAGTTGATAAACAATTTCTGTGTTATTTTCTCGAGAGTTGTATTTTTGCTTATTTTCATTGTAATTTCCTGTAAACAAATCAAAGTTTTAATGGAATCGACAATGGAAGCAACTTTCGCTGAAAACAGGGTTAACTCACTTTAACCCTTATATAGATTTGTTGTGTTTGGCAGGTTAAGAAGGGGTTAAGTCTCCTTAACCCCTCACTTAAGCCTTTGCCAAACGGTACCTTAACGTAATGCTAACCAGAGGAATTTCAATATACGAAGATTTGGAGGATTATCTAGTAGATGCTTAGCCATTTAGATGAAATGGCTTCTTTCCTCCCTTTATATTTCCTTCTCTTATGATTCGATAAATAATAGATGATCTTATGTTTTTTTTTTTTTTTTTTCTTTTCCTTATTTTGTCTAATAAATAATCATAGACAACCTTATTATATGGTTCTAGAAATGTTCTCACAAAATGCTATTATTGCACATTAATCAATCATCCCCCCCCCCCCTCCCCTCATTCCCTCAACCAAACAGGAAAAAAGTCATATACCTCCCCTCACTGGTACCTCCCACCAAACAATAAGCACGAGAGGTGCGTACATTATTCCTTCTACCTCATTGCATCTCACTCTACCTCACTTTTCCTTCTCATACTCCCTACCAAACCAAGACTTTGTCCAGCCCTACTCATGCTAGCTATTCTAATTACTAAGTTTTAAAAAAACCACATCTACGTGTCATTCCATCGACATATAGCCACCAATGCTCATTTCCATTCAATTGTTTGGTAAAATATTAATGGAAAAAAAAACCAATTACGCCCCTATTAACAAAGCTTTTACAATTTGGATGTGCAAACTTAAGGCCTATTTCATGATACAATATCATCTTTTAAGTATCCATATTTCAAAATATTGCACTTAATTACAATCATCTTCGCTCTCCTTACCTCCACGTAGTATCATGTTTCATCTAAAAGGGGTGTAATTAAGGGCTACATTTTGAAACTTGAATGGTCAAGGGTGTTGCGAAATAGATTCTAGGTTGGAGGTTGTTTCGTAAAATGGACCCTGACTTATGGGCGGTTTCCCTAAAATCACACGAGGGGTAGAATTGATTTTTTTATTGACGGTTTTTCTATAGGGTGCCCATGGGCACTCTATAAGGGAGGAGAGAGCAGGGCCGGCCCAACAGGGGGGGTAGGGGGGGCGACCGCACAGGGCCCCATTTCAAAGGGGGCCCCAAATTTTTAAAAATGCCCATAGTATATTTCTTAATTCTTTCCAATAAGTCTTTTGTTTGTTTAAAAAAGGGTCTAATAATCTAATACTAGCCCACTAAATTAAATAATAATTTATGTCCATTGCCTAAGCCTAACTTCCTAACACCCATGACCCATCTGATTTACATTTTACCGGAAATATACACCAATTAGTACTACAATTATGATTAGTTGCTCATTTGTCTCCTAAAGTTTAGGAAATTCAATTTGAACTCATTAATTCCCAATTAACTATTCCCTATTAACTAGGAAACACACCAATAATGATACCGGTTTATCATTTATTTCCGTTTGTTTTTTTACCGTTTACCATTTAAACACAGATGACAGAGCCCCATTTATAGTAGTAATTTTTTTATCGTTTATTTTTTTTACCGTTTAGTAGTAGTACTAGGAGTATCTAACTACTATAAATAGTGAAGTAAGTAGTATTTTTATAGTATAATTTATTAATCTTCTTCTACAATTCTCATTCTTCATCTACAATTCATGTTTTGATTCTATTGAAGAGATAATATTATTGAGGGTTTGGCATTGCGATAATATTAGAAGATTTGGCATTTAACTACATTTTTATTTCAAGAAATCAGGTGATATTTTTCCTTTTCTTTTGTTAAGTTAAGTTATTTTATTTGTATTTTATTTGTTATTTATTTTATTTATCTATTGATATTTATTTAGTTTCTTATTTTTGTTGTTTACTTGTTTTATAAAATGATTCCTAGAAAACAATTGTCTGGTTATGAAAAAAGAAAAAAGAGAAAACGATTAGATTCTTTGGTCGAATCACAAAAAGGAGCTATTAATAAATTTTTCTCCAAAAGTTCAAGTTCTCATGAAAATAATGAACAATTAGATGAAAATACACCTACTAGCCATGAAAATTTACCTACTGATAATGAAAATTTACCTATTGATGATGAAAATGTATCCATTGATGTTGAAAATGTATCTATCGATAATGAAAATAATGATAGTAAATATGTGCCTAATATTGATATCTATGACCCTAGAACATGGGAAAATATTGATAATGATTCAAGAGATATTTTAGTTGAGAAGGGGCTTGAAAGAGAAACAAATCTTAACTTTCCTTTAGACAAAGAGGGTAGACATTTTTCATATACACATTTCAATAGAAAATTGAGTAATGGAGAGAGTAGAGATCGAAAATGGTTAATTTACTCTAAACATATTGATAAGGTATTTTGCTTTTGTTGTAAATTGTTCAAATCTAATAACTATAAAGCTTTGTTAGCAAATGATGGATTACAAGATTGGAGACATATAGGTGAACGACTAAAAGAGCATGAAAATAGCATCGAACACATAACTAACATGAACTCTTGGAATGAACTAAGATTAAGGTTGGGAAAAGGTCAAACCATAGATAATGACTTGCAAAAGGAAATTATGAAGGAAAAAGAACGATGGCGTCAAGTTTTGATTAGAATAATAGCTGTTGTAAAATGTCTTGCTAAAAATAATTTGGCTTTTCGAGGAAGCAACGAAAAGATTTATCAAAATAGTAATGGTAATTTTTTGGGAATTATTGAGATGCTAGCAGAATTTGATATAGTCATGCAAGATCATGTTAGGCGTATTCAAAATCATGAAATTCATCGTCATTATCTTAGTCACAAAATACAAAATGAATTGATTTCTAGCTTAGGTCAAAGTGTTAGAAGTTCTATCATAAAGACTATTAAAGAAGCAAAATATTTTTCTGTAATTCTTGATTGTACTCCGGATATTAGCCATCAAGAACAAATGGTCTTAGTAATCCGTTGTGTAGATATGTCGAGCCAAATTGGTAGAATAGAGGAGTATTTCATAGAATTTTTAAAGGTAGATGACACCTCTGGATTAGGACTTTTTAATGAATTGTTAAATATATTGAAATTACTTGATCTTAATGTGGATGATATTAGGGGACAAGGGTATGACAATGGTTCTAATATGAAAGGTAAACACCAAGGTGTTCAAAAACGATTGTTGGAAGTAAATCCAAGAGCATTATATATGCCATGTGCTTGTCATAGTCTCAATCTTACTCTTAGTGATATGGCATATTCTTGTGTTAAAGCTGTTTCATTTTTTGGAGTTGTGCAACATATTTATTCATTATTTTCGAGCTCTACTAAACGATGGAAAATATTAGTTGACAATGTTCCATCATTTACTGTTAAATCTTTATCAAATACTCGTTGGGAGAGTAGAATTAAAAGTGTAAAAGCAATTAGATTTCAAGCCCCTCAAATAAGATTGGCTTTGTTAGAATTATATAACACTTGTGAAGATGCAAAAACAAAGAGTGAAGCTCAAGGTTTGGTTACTGCTATTGAAAATTTTGAATTTTTACTTGGTATGATTATTTGGTATGACATTTTATTTGCTATTAACAAGGTGAGTAAACTATTACAACATAAAACTATGAGCATTAACAATACTATCAAGCAAGTAAAAGATATGATGTTGTATTTTGAAAATTATAGATATGATGGATTTCAAAAGAGTTTAGATATTGCTAGAAGTATTGCACTTGAGATGGATGTTGAGCCTATATTTCAAATAAAACGTCGCATATTTAGAAAAAAGCAATATGATGAAAATGATCATGATGAAGAAATACAGTCTTTGGAAGAGTCTTTTAGAACTAATTATTTTTTAGTTGTGGTGGATATGGCAATCTCTTCATTGAAAGAGAGATTTGAACAATTACAAACATTTGAAAGTATTTTTGGATTTTTATATGACTCGGATAATTTAAAGGCATTGAACGATAATGAATTGAGAGATTGTTGCATTCATCTTCAAAACATTTTATCTTTCAATGATTCATCAGATATTGATCTAAATGATATGTTCTCTGAATTAAGAGTGCTGCAAAAGACTTTGCCAGATGTGTCAAAGACAGCAGCCCAAATTCTTGAATTTGTTAAATCTGCTGATTGTTATCCTAATGTTTTGATTGCATATCGAATTTTATTAACTTTACCTGTGACTGTAGCATCAGCGGAAAGGAGTTTTTCAAAATTGAAGCTGATAAAAACATATTTGCGCTCAACATTATTACAAGAAAGATTGAATGACCTTGCAATTCTATGCATCGAGAAGGATATGTTGGAAAAGATAGATATGGATTCTATTATTGATGATTTTGCATCAAAAAATGCATGAAAACATCGTTTTTTGTAATTTTTGTATTTTTTATGTATTATTTCCTTTGTAAAATAAATATAATTCAATAAATTTATAGTTCAACATTTATATAGAAGAGGGCCTCATTTTATCATTTCGCACAGGGCCTCAATAAAGCTTGGGCCGGCCCTGGGAGAGAGATGGAGAGAAATGAATAGCTCATGGGCCTCCCTGATTTACATTAATTTCTGTGCATAATTCATTTCTTTTTATCTCTCTCCTCTCTTATAGAGTGCCCATGGACACTCTATAGAAAAACCGTTCTATTAATATCAATGAAGATTGGACAGAAATAGACATATGTGGTTACATGTTGACGGAACGATGCACAAAAAGCCGTAAAAAATAATTACATGCTCTAGTTTTTCTTCAGTGAAATTATCCATGAAAAATGTGTTATAAAATACTGACTTCTGCAGTATTTAAATTTATTTACTTGAGCTTATGGATAAGTTTTTTCTTTTAATTTGGTCAGGAGCATTACGCACATGCAATGTAACTAGTGCAATCTCAAGGGTTATGTTTGGCTAATAAACCGAACTACATCTCAAGCTGTGCCGATCCTGACCCATATCCAACCTGATAACTCGAGATGTAGACGCTTTGATTTTATGTTGCGGGTATTATAAATTTTCGTATATACAAGTAGGTAAAATAATTATAGTCAATTTTCGTATATAAATTTTTCTTTTAAATATGACATTGTATAATAAATTTTCGTATATACAAGTAGGTAAAAGAAGAACCTAGAATAGAAGTTTTACAAAAAAAATAAGGAAAAATTGCTTCAAGGCCCCAAATTCATATTTTCAATGTGCCCTATCCCCCCCAACTTTCAAACATGTGCTGCAGCCCCCTCTTTTTGAAAAAATTATTAAAAGCCCCTCTCCCCAAGTTCCCATGCAAACTCCATACACAATCCCCATTTTACCCTCCCCTACACCCCCCTCCTCCTCCGTTCCCCCTCTGCCCCCGCCGCCCCGCCTCCCTCCCCTCCCCCTACACCTCCTTCTCCTCCCCCGCCTCCCTCCCCGCCTCCCTCCCCCCGCCTCCCTCCCTCGCTGCACCTCCCTCCTCCTTCTTCGGTCCCCCTTTGCCCCCTTCCCCGCTTCGTCGCCGGCGCCGTTCCGAGGAACTTCGTGTGGGCACATTAATGTTAACTCTTTTCTATAACATGTTAACTCTTTTCTGTAATACGTTAACTCTTTTTTATAAAATGTTAACTCTTTTCTGTAACATGTTAACTCTTACAGCTAATATGTTAGCTGTAAGAGTTAACATGTTAGCTGTAAGAGTTAACATGTTAGCTGTAAGAATTAACATGTTATCTGTAAGAGTTAACATGTTACAGAAAAAAATTAACATTTTACAGAAAAGAGTTAACATGTTACAGAAAAGAGTTAACATGTTACAGAAAAAAGTTAACATGTTACCAAAAAGAGTTAACATGTTACAGAAAAGAGTTAACATCCACTGACATGAGAAAGAGGAGGGTAAATTCGGGATTTAAGTCAGCTGATATGTCTAATCATGAGCTGGCATGTCTAATCAACTGCTGAAATGAGCTGGAATCATGATGGAGGAGTGATGGAGGGGCTTGGACACATTTTTTTCAAAAAGGAGGGGCTAAAGAACATTAAAAAAATAGGAGGGGCTGGGGCACATTGAAAATATAAATTTGGGGCCTAGAAGCAATTTTTCCAAAAAATAATTATCGTAAATACTTAAACTATTTTAACATATTCATCCATAGTTGAATTGATATGCTTCAATATTCTAAAGTTATTTTTAAATGTACCTATTGTAGTTGGTTTTTTATAACAACAAATTATTATTATTTTGAACAATAATACTATTTAATGCAAAAACTGCATGAAAATATAAATCTCATTTCACAATTCTAAAATGAAATGCAGAACCACATAAAAAAAATAAAATTTGATTTACCTATTCTACTTGAAATTAGGGAAAAGAAAAAAAAGAAATTGAAACCCTTTTTAGATTATGATACAATTTTGGGTAAAGCAAAATAAATAACGCATGAATGGTAGTCATGTAGACGACGAGCATCTCAATATTTTTGACCATAATCTACACCATAACTCTTTAGAAATGAGCTCATGAAAGGTGTTTGTATTTGACTTGAAACATTAAAATTTGAGTTTCAGAATAACAACGGGAAAAAAGGTGTTTGTTTTTAATTGAGGATGATATGCAATGTTACATTTGTTAGCTGGACCACTTAGGGTCTGTTTGGCAACTTGATAGAGTGAAGCCAGCCCATTTTTATTTCTTAATCAGGTCAGAATTGAACTAGGTAGGGGTTAGTTCAATTCTAGGCTAGTTAAGAGACTAATAAATAAATTAAAATAAGTTGGGTTAGCTATGACTCAACTTTTTCCAAACACAAAACTATACTAAAACTGGACCAAGTTTGAACGAGGCCCAATTTTAGTGGTTTGCCAAACATGCCCTTAGTCTTTCTCATCTATCAGTTCACAATTTTAGTTGTTTGATAAACAGGCCTTAGAAGTAGTAATTACGAATTAATTTGAAAACACTTATGAGATTTAGGTACTTAATGGAAATTTTAATGATTTGAGGGACTAAGTCAAAACAACTTAAGAATGTAGAGACCTTGCACAATTTGAATGATTTGAGGGACTAACATCAAAAAATGAAAGTGTTAAGGGACCAATTGCAAAACCTAACTTATAGATATGATGTATAGTAATAAACTAGGGAAGCCCTGCCCCATTGGCTCCACCACTGATTAAACTCTTCAGAATATACACAAAGCTTATTCATTGGCCCATCTATTAACAGTATTTCATGATCATTTATTAGTAGTGTTATAGAAAAATAAGGTTAACCTTTATTTTTTTTAATTTATAATCTAATAAAAATATATTCTATATTATCTTATATGAAATTACATATGATGTAATATATACAGATATACATTTGGATATATTGGATAGATTAACTTTATCTTATATGAGCAAATGTATTTTACATAGAATCGACATATCATTATCTTTCATAATACGAATATGGATCAAATGCGAAATGGAATATTTATATCTGTTATAGCCGTTTTAGTGATGGAAAATAAGCTCTAATCAATGGCAGACAAGTGTCTCATGTTATGCATAATAAAGTCAGCATCTCAATACAATTAGAGGCTAAACTCGGTCGACTCAACACACCAGCATCTTGTGAGGACGACTCGAAAGACGTCACATATCGACGACCCGAAAGGCATTACGTCTCACCCCTCGTCTGAGTCGACTACTTAACCACTCAACTCGGCCAACTAATTGGCCGACACATTGTGAGTTCGACTCAAAAGGCGATACTTCTCGACCATCAGACGAGTAGAAAGGCGATGAAATGCCTCGAGCCCTCTGTGCACTCATGACCAATCACCTCGTCATAAATGTCATTAAATGCATTATGGGCGCCATCATTCCTCTATCTCCAATAATATTTATGACACATTGGACCACGTCGGCACCGCACACCCCACATCCCTTCGCATTAAACCGAACCTCTTCTCCACTCCTCGACTGACACCTGTAAAGTTGAATCTGACTTGGCCGCCAGCCCATGCCCGACCAAAGTTACCATCCTACCCTCCTTCCACTACTATTAGAAGAGATACTATTTTTCATTACATGGTAAGCTTTTTTCACCATTCTCTGAACTTAAGAACTACTACAGTTCCCTTTACTTTTTCACACAAGTCACCCACTGACTTGATCGTAGGAGGAACAACCGGGGAATCATATCTCGCCCTCTTACGATTTGTTACTTGTGCAGTGAAGTACAACTTGCCCAAAGACCAGACATTTAGAGAGCTAGAGGACCTCCGTCAACTTAATCTACTTTCATTTGACCGTGTGATTCTATACTTCAACAATATCCAGTTACATTTGTAGGCGAATTCATTCCTTGAATTTCATTAATGTGATTCATATTAAGAATAATAATTTTGAAGTTGCAAAATAGATTAACAGAAACACCTCATTTTACGAAAGGTTTTTTTAAAATATTAGTCCCTTAAATCTTTAATAGTTGCATATTAGTCCTTCAAATCTTAGAAAGTGCATATTAGTCCCTTAAATCTTTAATAATTGCAAATTAGTCCATCATATCTTGAAAATTGCATATTTATCCCTCAAGTCCTATAGGGCCTTGCAAAATAGTCCCTTAGTTAGTATTTCAGTTAAAAAACTCAATCGTGATCGAGTTAAAACCTAACCCAAAATCCGTGATCACCAAACTACCACTTTCTCCGATGTTTCAAACCTTCATGAAACCCAACTTTGGATTAGGATTTTTTCCCTAACCATTGGAGAAGAAGAACTCAATTGAATTTGGATTTATTTTAAGACGGTATTGGATTTAAACCTATTAAGAAATGAGTTAGGGGACATTATATGGGGGCCAAACGGTCACTTTTCCTACAACTATTAGATTTGAAGGAATATTCCCCTCAAAGTTACCGTGATTCCATTTGAAGGACCATTTTGCAAGATCCTATAGGATTTGATGGACTAATATGCTATTTCCAAGATCTGAGGGACTAAAACGTAATTATTGAATATTTTAAAGGACTAATATACAATATCCACGTTTTGAGGAAGCAATATGCAATTATTAAAGATTTAAGGGACTAATATCTAAAAAAACCTTCAGGAAAGAGCATGGCAAGCCGCCCAGCTCAAAATTGAAATTTAATGATAAAAGAATTACAAGAAATACGGATATTGCTACGAACTTTCAGTGTCCATGATTGTCTTAAGCGAGATGGACATTCTCTACACTGGAGATCCATGAAGATGAGGAGCAGGTCTTATCGTCGTCACTGACCACGACAATGTAGGTCAACTATGTGGCAAACAGTCCACCCATGGGAGCTTATTGTAGTTGGTAAATGTCAACGGAAGCATCCACTTTTAAAGTCATAAATAGGAAGCGAAGAAGGTTGACTCTTCCTGTTTAGAAGTTATGAGAAAGGATTAATTGTTGATTCTCTTCACGATCAAAATAGCAGAGAGATTATCTAGGCGAATCCTAATTATAATGATTTCCCTGAGAATTGCGATTAATTAATCTCGAGTAAAAATGTGTAAACTACTGGCAAAGTGACAACTAATTAATAAGATTAGAAAATATATTTCCATAAAAAAAAATTTTCTGACATAATCTAAGTCAAATCGATAGATCCATGTATTCGAGTCCAATTAATTGACTTGTGGAATCTGACAGCGCAATCTTCGTAAACGTAATTATTCCACTCAACTTTGAAACTTTAGATAGTAAAAGCATGTAGGCACTTTAATTTTTATATTTTTCATACGCAATTTATGTTAGAATTTGATAATACGGTACAAAAAGATGCTAGCCAAGCCAGCAAGGAGAATGATTAAGAGAAATATTAATTAGTTATGGTCATAATCATGGAGATGAAGCACATGGATATTCTACCTAAATAAAAAAAGGAAAAAAAAAACTAAAAAGAAAAAAAACACATGAATATGTTCACCTACTTCCTGATAAAATATGTTTTGTTAAGGTAAGCCACCTTGCTAGTATCAAACAAGATCATTCTTCATCATGGTGTTCTTGGTCTCGCTAATTATATGCTTACCTAGTTCAGTAAAAATTCTTCTCAACTCATTAATTTTCCCAAAAGTCTTTTAAAGTGTGCTATAACGCTTCGATTGATACTGTGGAATTGGGTCGAGTGAGAATAAAACGAAGTAAGAAATTGAATGAAATAAAAAAGGGAATGAGATGTACACATCCGTTCCCCATGTTCGAGTGCAGATTAGAGAATAAAGTGAGAATTATAAACTTTATATATACTTTTAGTAATGGATAACTAATAGTCAATCATGCATATTTGGAAGCTATTTTAATATATTGATTCCCACTTTAGTGAGAACGCTCATTCCCACAAAAATGCGACAATAAAGGAGAAGTGTGAATGAACATTCTAGTTTCAAAAAAGACCTCATGTTTGATAAACATAAATAAAAGTGCGAATAAAGCATTCCCTTCTTATCAATCCCCGCGTACCAAGCGAGATGCAAGAGTTGTGCTGATTTAGTAGGGTCCATACGAATTCCTGGTGTCTACTTGAGGTAAAGGGGCTGTTTGGTTCGCTATTATAAGGGGTGGAAAACTCAGAAAACCCTTCCACGTCAGATTTTTAGCCCACCACGTCAGTTTTTTTTTCAGTCCATTTCTTTGTGTCGCTTTGGTTCGCTCGGATGGAAGAGGAAAAACTCTGCTAAAATCGCCGCCAGCTCAAATTTTTTTCCCTCTCCGATTTCCTTCCCCAACCGAGTGAAATTGATGAAAACTTTGCCACGTCAGAATTTTTTTCTTCTCTGTTTTGTTTACAAAAGTTTTCCTTTTTTTTCTATGCGAACCAAACACAAGAAAAATAAATACATTAGTTTCTCACCATTTATTATGTGTGAATCAAAGCAAAACAATCTATTTTTTGAAAAACTTTAAAAAACTTAAAACTTGTATTTCTTTACATGGAATTACATTTTCCTATATGGGCCTGTTCGTTTGCCTAAAAAAAGAGGGAAATCAAAGAAATGGAAAACTATTAAAATGAAGAATTGTTTTTGGAGTGTTTGGTTGGCTAAAAAAGAAGGAAATCAAAGAAATGAAATTGAAATGATGTTAGTTGTCACCTTATTATTGGATGATGTTTGTGATTTTTTAAGAAAACTAGTTTTGGAGTGTTCGGTTGGCGAAAAAAAAAAAGAAAATGAATTATAAGAAACCTATTTCCTGTAGTTTCTTGTTTTCTTTTGTTCGGTTCATTCTTAAAAATAAGAAATGAGATGAGATGAGATGAGTTGTCATTGTATTATTGGGTGATGTGAAGAAAGATTAAGAAACGTGTTTTCATAACTTTTTGGGATGGAAATGAAGAAATGAGATGAGGTAAATTGTTATAATATTTTATTGGATGCTGTGAGTGATTTGAAATGATGAGAAGAGATGAGTTGAGTGATGTTTGGATGAAAATAATATTTTATTAGATGTGATGGATGAGTTATTAGATGAAAATAATATTTTATTAGATGTGATGAATGAGTGGTTAGATGAAAATCATATTTTATTAGATGATGTGGATGAGTTGTTGGATGGAAATAATATTTTATTAGATGTTGTGGGTGAGTTTTAGGGATGGAAATAGAGGAAATGGTGAGTTTTGAGATTTTCACCATTTCCATTTCCATTTCTTGGTTTTTAGAAAACAAACGAACATGCCCTATCAAGTAAACGAACCAAACAGCCCCAAATAAGAAAAATTATCGCTACCGAGAATCCTCAAAATCGACAAAAGAAATCTCGTGTCGATGGAAAAGTGCCAAAACAACTCACCGCAATTGGCGCCAACCTACTAAATGGATGGTCGAGATCCACTGCTTCCTTTAAGTGGGACCCATCAACGGTCATGATCCTTTCCCAATTTTTCCAGTCGGAAACGACACCGACCCAAAAATACAAAGCGACTGTCTTCCCCTTTCCTCCTAATCCCAAATTTACCCTCACAAACGAGCGAAATGGACAGAGAAAACTGTCGGTGTGCGCGGATTGAGCTAAGGGCAAATCGGAGACGTAATATTCCTCAAACACAAGGGCGTTTAGGGAAAACAATTAAGTGCATCCCCGGGCAGGACACGTGTCCTTTGATGCTAAAACCGCGTCAATTTATAATAAAAGCCTCGTGTGTATTGCCATCTCCTTCATCCTCCCCCCCTCTCCCCAACAGTTTGGGAATTTGTCGCCAGTTCATCGATGGCGCCGCTCGATTCACCGAAATTCAGTGAGAATTGAACCGAAACCTATCGATTTTCGAAATCTAGAGCCCGAGATCTATCGATCCAGGGGTTTTAAGCCCGGATTTGGGCTCAATTCGCGAAAGATTGGATTTTTAGGGTTTCGCAGTTTTGAGGAAGTTAGGGGTTTTTTTCCTCTGATGTTGGAGGAGAGAAGGATGGTGAATGGGAGCGGGAATTCTTATGGCCATCATCATCGGGATTTTTCAGAGAATGTTTTGGATGGATTCAGTAACGGCTGTGCTACGATTCCTGTATCTTCGTCTTATTCGCCTTCGTCTTCTTGCTCTGGGGGTAATTATATTGAGCACAAGGTCTCGAAGCTGGACACCGTAGCTGGCATCGCGATTAAATATGGAGTCGAGGTAATTTGGATCTACGGTTTTGTATCATTTTCGGGGTTTTTTTAAGAGTAAAAATTGGATTTTTCTTGCTTGTAGATGGATACATTTTCAAATGCATGTCTAAATGTGTGTTGACAATTGATTGGTTTGGATTTGATGAGACACAAAGTGCCCTTATGTTTTTGCGTTGATTTTCAGAGACGGTGCTTTAACTGTAAAGCTGACGTCTTTTGGGGTTTATCACGCAGGTTTGGGTCTAGTTGTTAAAATGTTTTCAAATTGGCCCTGTAAATTGTGAGAGACCGTAGGAAATGTCAACCGTCAAACCTAATAACGAAAGTAGATGATGGAGTTATCAAGGCAAATCGTCGCCGTGCTTTTAAATTTTTTAGGTGATGGGTTCGAGAAAAAGTATCTCAAATCTGAATTCAATAAATGTCATGGATATCTGAGGATAAATAGATACACTCCGCCTAAAACATAGAGTTAGAAAAGAAAGAAGGCCTTGGCATGTGCACTGATATGAGTTGCATAGAAATTTTGTGCCAATATGTTGTTGGCGGACTTTAAGTGACAAAAGAAGGAAAGTGGATGGACATAATTCCTACTGAAGGCAGACTTGTGGTATTATTGGAGATTTGTTGCAAGCCTGGAGCGATGGCGAATTAAGATCATCTTAACATAAATTTGTGTTGAAAAAACATGTTCATCGTTTTTCTTTAGCTTTATTTTGGTGTTTTTATGTTAGGGTTAGGGTTATACCTACGAATTCCAAAATTACTCTAAAAAATCCGACGATGATGATCATAAGATTTCCCATTCCCATTCACCATCCTTCTCACTTCCAACAGCAGCATCATAATTTTTCAGAAAAGGATGGTGAATGGGAATTCTTATGATCATCATCATCGGAAATTTTCAGAGAATGTTTGGGATGGATTCAGTAATGGCTACACTACGATTCCTATATCTTCTTCTTTGCCTTAGTCTCCTTTTCCCTGTGGTAATTATATTGAGCACAAGTTCTCGAAAATGGACACTGTTACTGGTGTTGAGATTAAATATGGAGTTGAGGTAATTTGAATCAGTGATTTGTATCATTTTCCAATGAGTTTAGCTAAGTTAGGGATTTTTGGTGCTTTTAGATGCGTTTTGAAATGTGTGTATAAATGGTTGTTGACCATTGATTGCTTTGGATTCAATGAAATACAAAGTACCCTTGTGTTTTTGCTTTGATTTTAAAAGATGATGATTTAAGCGTAAAGCTTATGTCTTTTTGGATTCAATGAAATACAAAGTGCCCTTGTGATTTTAGCTTTGGTTTTAAAATATGACGCTTTAAGTGTAATGATGATGTTTTTTTGGATTTATCTTGCAGGTTCTTGGTCTAGTTGTTAAAGAATATTCAAATTGGATATTAGGATATTTTATAATTAATTGATATGATTATTATGGCTTATATTCAAAGCCTATGTCAAAAGGTCCTGTTAGTTACTACGGTACACAAGACTTCGAAGTTGTGGTGAGGATTCAGGGGTTATATAGTTTTGTATATAATCCAAAATTAGGTGTACTTTTTATTTTATCATTTGTTATATATGTATATAAAGTATTTGGAATTGAAGAAGAGATGTGGTAAAGAGTTCTGAAGTAGTGAATTTTAAATGTTAGGATTGGTTGGTGCATTTAAGGATGCATTATTTAGGACAATTGAAAAAAACAATACATTTACAATATTATATAGTTCTAGCATTGAACTTTAAAACCTTATCTAAGTTCAATGAAATTGCAGCTCCTTTATATTAGTTTATTCTGGTTTTGCAGATTTTTTTGGTGTTTTAATAACATTTAATTTAAACATGCATGTTAAAATTTGCATGTAGTTGGAGGGACATGAGAATCTAATTACTCATAACCAAATACACTGCAAATTAGCGATGTGTCAGATCAAGGTTGATGAGCATCATCAAAACATCGACAACAATGAAAACAAGGGGAAACCCGGTAGATTTTTTATTTTACTTATAAACATTGTAGCATGATACAAGTGGATAATGTTAGCAAAAAGCAACAACATATCACGATAGGTGGAGAAGTCCACTATAAATCCCGCAGCGGCCATCTTAAAGTAGGATCCCAATGCACGAGAAACATCTCGTTCAACACAATGCATCTTGATCAGTAAAGAAAATGCTTCAGGCATTCAAGTCTCGGTAAGGGCATCGAATATTGCCAATTTGCGCGTAACGCCTACTCTCTCTCCCACGATCCCTTTATATCCTCGCACAGACTCCACACAAAATCAACCTTTCTCGCTATGATGGAGGCCTCTATCATCAAAAAACACACCCCATCCGAGGATGTGAGCTCTCTCATTTTCATTTTAAAAAACATTATTAGAGCTACCTTAAGATTTCCGCATTTTTCCAATGCCGAAATCATCAGCTCCCCATCAGATGAACACTTACTACTCCGATGATAATCGGACAAGAGGGTTTAGAGTTCTAGTAGATAGAATTAGGGCTGATTTTGTTCGGAGACGGAACATTTCGATTAGAGCACCCTACCCTAGCCCCATAGAAAGGATTGACATATACTATTCAACACTAGTTAAAAAGATTAAAAGGGCTAGTTTTTAAATAAAAGCTCTTCTATTATTATTGTAATTTAGGACACCCCACTATCTTTTTACCGAGCCTACGACAGGTTATGACGGAAGTGACTCTGCTACGGACCTATATTCGGTTACGATCGGGCTTTCTCTGGGTGTGGGTAGGGTCCCAGGCTTTTTGAACAGCCCTACGCATGTTATAGTGTAAGTTCTTTTATCTTCTCATGCATCCAAAGAAGAGTAGATCAGTGTTGGTATTAATTGGCCAAAATCAAAAGAACTATCTCTATAAGAGTAAGGTGTCGGGGTAGCCTAGTAAGTCACATGGCAAAGCTGTGTCGCTCCCTCATAGAGGGCCTGGGTTCGATTCTCTTGCGCGCTAAAGGCGCAGTCAAAAAATAGTGGGGTGTCCTACACTACAATAATAATAGAAGAGTTTTTATTTAAAAAGTAGTCATTTTAACCTTTTTAACTAGTGTTGAATTATATGTGGGGGTAGGGTGGGGTGCTCTAATCAAAATGTTTCGTCTCCGAACAAAATCAGCCCTAATCCTATCTACTAGAACTCTAAACCCTCTTGTCCGATTATCATCGGAGGAGGGTAAGTTTTATCTGATGGCAATGTTTTAAATGTCGGATGTCGGGTTCATGTCGGATGGTTGAAATCCATGTCGGATAGCGAAAATCGGGATATATCGGGGGACATGATTAAATATCGGATTGTCATATCGGGTAGTGCGTATATGTATAATATCATGTCCTAAATATAATCTAAGCATTCATAAATTCAATATAAGCATACTTTATAAATTCTATAGACTAAACATATAAAAAAAGTAAATAATATATGGATTTGGGTTCATAATTCTTTCTATCGGGTTCATAAGAAACCCTTAAACATGAGAATGAGTCAAACAGGTTTGGATATTTATCACTAAACCTAAACCTGATAACAAAAAACATATCTTAAAAAAAAGTATCATATCAGCCGATTTTTTAAAGCTAAAAAATAAGCCGATATGCCCGATATGACCCTGATATTTCCGATTTGGCCCTGAAAACCGACATACGAGTTGAAAACGTTCATGTCGTGTCGGTCAAGCCCTCAAACCGATATGTCAGCCGACATGTCGGATATGTCGACCGATATTTAAAACCTTGTCTGATGGGGAGCTGATGATTTCGGCATGGGCAAAATGCAAGCTTAAGGTAGCTCTAATGATGTTTTTTAAAATGAAAATGAGAGGGCTCACACCTCGGATGTGGTGTATTTTTCAATGATAGAGGCCTCCATCATGGCGAGAAAGGTTGATTTTGTGTGGAGTCTGTGCGAGGATATGAAGGGATCGTGGGAGAGAGTAGATGTTACACGCAAATTGGCGATATTTGATGCCCTTACCGAGACTCGTATGCCCGAAGCATTTTCCTTACTGATCAAGATGCATTGTGTTGAACGAGATGTTTCTTGTGCATTGAGATTCTACTTTAAGATGGTTAGTGCGGGATTTATAGTGGACTTCTCCACCTACCGTGATATGTTGTTTTTTGCTAACACCATCCACTTGTATTATGCTATAATGTTTATAAGTAAAATGAAATCTACCGGGTTTCCCATTATTTTCATTGTTGTAGATGTTCTGATGGTGCTCATCAACCTTTATCTGACACATCGCTACATGCAAATTTTAACTTGCAGGTTTAAATTAAATGTTATCACAATACCAAAAAAATCTACGAAAGCAGAATAAACTAAAATAGAAGAGCTGCACTTTCATTGAACTAAAATAAGATTCTAAAGTTCAAAGTTAATATTGTAAATGTATTTGTTGTTTCAATGGTCCTAGATAACGTATCCTTAAATGCACCCACTAATCCTAACATTTAAAATTCAGAACTCTTTATCGCATCTCTTCTTCAATTGCAAATACATTTATAATACCATAGAAATGGCTAAGTGTTAACCCTCTCCCAGGAGCCGGCATGTGTCCCATATAAACCTAACATCAAGTCAACCTCTCTCTATTCAGGATAAATAGATACGCTCCTCCTAAAAACGTAGAGTTAGAAGAGAAAGAAGGTCTTAGCATGCACACGGATATGAGTTGCAGAGCAATTGTGTTTCAAGATGATCTTGGTGGACTTCAGGTGACTAGAGAAGGAAAATGGGTGGACATAATTCCTACTGAAGGCAGACTTGTTAAAATATTGGAGATTTGTTGCAACATTGGAGCAATGGCAAATTAAAATCATCTTAACATTGATTTGTGTTGAAAAAACCCGTTTGTCGTCTTTCCTTAGCTTTATTTTGGTGTTTTTATTTTAGGGTTAGAGATAGAGTTATACCTAGGAATTCAAAAATAATCTCTGAAAAATTCCAATGCTGATTTCCCATTCCCATTCACCATCCTTCGCTGAAAAATTAAAAGGATGGTGAATGGGAATGAGAAATCATCATTGGAATTTTCAGAGAATATTTAGGATGGATTCAGTAATGGCTAAGCTATGATTCCTACGTCTTTGTCTTTGTCTTTGTCTTTGTCTTGTTCACCTTTGCCATCTTGTTCTGATGGTAATTATATTGAGCACAACGTCTCGAAGATGGACACTGTTGCTGGTATTGCGATTAAATATGGAGTTGAGGTCATTTGAATCTATGATTTGTATCATTTTCCAATGAGTTTAGTAAAATTAGAGATTTCTTTTTTGGTTTTAAATGCATTTTTAAGTGTGTATAAATGGTTGTTGACCATTGATTGCTTTATATTCAATAAAATACAAAGTGCCCTTATTGCTTTGATTTTAAAAGCTGATGCTTTAAGTGTAAACCTAATGTCTTTTTGGATTCAATGAAATACAAAGTGCCCTTATGTTTTTGCTTTGATTTTAAAAGATGATGCTAAGTGTAAAGTTGAGGTCTTTTTGGGTTTATCTCGCAGGTTTTTGGTTTAGTTGTTAAAGAGTTTTCAAATTGGTTTTATAAGTTGTAAGAGATCGTAGGAAATTCCAAACCTCAAATCTCTTGGAAACCAACAATTGACTCCCACTTAGTCGTTATGGGACCAAATGGACCCTAATATACCACCATAGTTCCTCAGCCCCAACGCCTATGCAGGCTGTCTTTGCACTGTCTAGTCCTGGAAAACACTGCAATACTGGCATCATCTTTGGCTTTGCACTATAGAACATTATAAATGAGAACTTCAACGCCACCGCCCCTGTCGCTCGCTTGCAATTGTTAATTGGGAAGGTGGGTTGACTCTCCTAACATTTGTAAGAGAGACCTAAGAGAGCACCACTAGATGCTAGCTGTCAGAGAGGGAACCAAAATCTCTTATAAACCTGCGGTTGACACTTGACATTCCATTAGTCAATGTAGGACTAAATGGACCCTAGCTCAGCATTTTCAGTTCTGATTCTTTGAAAATTTGGGTTTCTAGTAAAAAGTGTTCTTGGATGAGTCCAGTTGATATATACTGATGAATGTTCTCTTATATTAATAAATGCTCTAGGTAGCAGATATTAGACGAATGAATGGCTTGGTAACAGATCTCCAGATGTTTGCACTCGACACTTTGCGGATTCCTCTTCCGGGGAGGCATCCACCATCGCCTATTGTGTCAAATGGTTCCACTGCTAACGGGTGATTTCTCGTTTTCCCCCTTCATTATTATTGGCTTATTTTGCTGTTGTGTGAAATTTGTTTCTCAGCAATTTTTGGATGTCATCAGTTGAAGATTTTACAACATTTAGCTTTGTTATGGGGGTTTGTATGTGATATGATCCCCCTAGACAAATTAACTGCAGCTTAATAATGTGATTAAAACTACAGTGATAAGTAGAAAAGGTTGTTATGACACTGTAATTTTTGCCTCGATAGTGAAATTTTAAGTGGAGCAGGTTTGAACACCGTTACTATAGCTAACTTGTTCTAGTGGTTGCGCCAGCTTTACTGATTTTGTCTAGTTTTATCTATTTCCAACATTGTTTCAGTAATGTCTTAAAAACATCAGATGGATCATGAATTGTGTTAAAAACATTGTCTGTCAAATTGTGCATATTATGGAACGTTGATTAATTACTGTCAGACACTCTAGAATGATCACTGTATGTGGGTATTTTCTTAATCTACTTAATAGTTACTTTTTTTTAACTTGTAATTTTTTTCGATAAACATTTGAAACAGTTCAGTTTTATCATAAATTGCATCAATTTAATATAGCCTTTTTTAGTTAAATAAACCATGCTAAAAAGATTTAAGTAAGCATTAATTGAACCAATATCCTATCTAGCTCTTTTACACAAATAAAACAAAAAAACTTTGTTCGAAATATACATTTTTAAGTAGGTTGAATATATTAAATTTTTAAAGTAGACTATATATATAATTATATATTATACTTAATATATATATTATATATTATATATATATATATATATATTATATATATATATATATATATATATTATATATATATATAATATATATAGTATAATATGAGATTAATGGGTATCGTTGTCATAGGAGGGGTTTCTCCTTGACGCCTCTAAATCACATGATATTGACGCGACATGTTTGATGACGACTATTATGGATGATTCCGCTTCGTTAAGAACTTGAGTCTACATATTCTGAAACCCAACACCAAGTTTGGGTGAACCCGTCGTCGTTTGACCTCTCAATCCACTAGTATCAATTTTAACGGTTTTGAATGATAGATTTTCACATGGCTTTGAAGGAGGTCAACGACCGACGGATTCTAGCCCCAACTTAGGTGTGCTGGGTTTCAGAACTAGGTAGATTCAAGTCGTCAACGGAGCCGAGATCATCATATATGTCGGCTCAATCATGTGATTTTAGAGGCGTCAAGGAGAATCCCCTCTATTGACAAAGGATACCATTAAGTGATACTCTCTCTTCTCTCTTTCTATATATATATATATATATATATATATATATATATATTATATATAGTATATATATGAGAAATGATGGGTATGCTTGGCTCAAGCACAAATTTTGTGCTGTAGGGATCGGTGCACAATCCCTACCATTCTCATTCTAAGATATGGAGCACCACTATTCATCTATGGAAGAGTGCATGGGGGTATGCCAACTTTGAGATGAGGTAGAGGGACGATTATGCCACCTCACTATCAAGCATACTACTTTAGTCTTGGTACCAAGCGATACCCTATTCTCTCATCTCTTCTCTCTCTCTCTCTCTCTCTATATATATTATATATATATAATATATATATAATATAGATATATATATATTATATATATATATATTATATATATGAGAAAAATGTAGGATTTGGAACAAGCACTATTTTATGCTTTGGTAGGGATGAGTATTCATTCTATCTATCTCACCATGTGAATGTGCGTCCCCATTTGAATGACGTGGATGAGAATTAACCATCTCGCACTACAGCACAAAACCTGTTGCTTACGTACCAAGTTCTCAATATTCTCTCTCTCTCTCTCTATATATATTATTATATATATTATATATAGAGAGAGAGAGGAGAGAGAAACTTATGTTTAACTTAAGTGGACCATCCACAAAGCTTCTTCATGATGATACCTAGAGATCCGACGTATCTATGAAGAGACTTTTCATCATATGGATAGAAAACTTTTTGGTAGATGGCCATTAAGGTGACAGTAGTTTCTCTACATATATATATATATCATATATTTATATATATAGTGTGTCGTGTGTGTGTGTGTGTGTGTGTTGTTTCTTTCAACATACATAGATATTGCTAATACTTTTAGAAGTTCTCTCACCTTTATTGTTGAACATGGTGGTTAACTTCAATGACTAGATTTTGTTGACTTTCCCTTGAAATATTAGCGAACCTGTGCACAAGTGTTTTTAATCAAAAGAAACAATTTCAAAAAATTTCACGGACCTGCATCATTGCAGATTCTGAGAAATCCATTTCAGCAAATCTTGCCATAAATATTACCAATAGCATGATGGAAAAGTGAGCACAAAATCATACAGTTTAATTTCTCTCTTTTTTAGTGTTCTTTTAATATTTGAGGAGTCATCAACGCATTAAATTTCATGCATAAGAAAAGAAGAATGCTAAATATGGAAGCAGCAATGCTGAATTATCTTTCTTGATTAAATAAGAAAAGTTCCTGGGTTCAGCTTTTAGGATCTTTGTCAATGCCTATTGATCGTTAAGTCATAAGGAAGATGTTTATCACATAAGGAATTTGAAAAGGGAAAACGACCATGAACTGATTCAGGCTGGGATCGGAGTGAGTAATATTGTTAATGTTATAGAAACACAGTGGTATTTCCATGGAAGATGCTTTGGCATGAGAAACAGAGAAGTTTTTGGATTCTTATGAATATGTAAAAGCAATATGAGTGGAGGAGAATGAGGACATTTTAGTATCTTGCGCAAGGAGATGGTAGGTAAGCAGGATGAAGACATGTTGGTGAGAATGATAGGGACACTGGATGTATGGCATTCTATCGCCAATGGGAGCAACTAGTGACTTGATAGTTCCCTTTGGGATTTGTGTGCGTGTGCGTGTTTTTTTTCTTTTTTTTGCGCAGGGGGTGGGTGGGTGGCAGGTTTGCGCATGATGGAGAGGCAAGAGAGAATCAAGAGTGCGCTATAATGCCCCATTTAGGGAGTCATATGAATATAGAAATGTTAATGGTTCTTTCAAATGAATTCCTGATTAAAAGTCCGATGTCTGGACATAACTGTATAAGTTTAGGAGTACAGACCAAATACCAAATTCCAGCACAGGGAATGCCATCATGCAAGCTATGATACTGCCTACAAGTAAAGTTCTATGGAAGCTAGATAAATATGCTCTGAGATTTTTTTATTGTATCCTGTTTTAGCAATTTTTTATTTTGATGGGTGTGTTTTTCTTTTTCTTATATAATTGACACCACTTTGTATAAGGCTGCAAAAATCATGCAACAAGAAATTAAATTCTTTCTGGTTTATTTATTCAAATTTCAAAGCATAACTTTTATGGGCACGTGGTTATATTCTTTATAGAAAACCAACATCAGAGACTGTTGGAATAATATTTATGTCTTCTCCTCGAACAGGATGAAACTGTGCTTCTGCTATTTTTCTCATCAATATTATACATCTTAGAATCTGTGAATCCTTTTAATCAAATGCTTCTTATACGTTTGTATCCTTATGTTAGAGCAAGCCTCAGCTTTCAGCAGACCTTATATGCTAGTCAATTAAGTGGGTTTAGGGGAGCTTTTTTTTTGGGTCAAAGTAGCTTTTAAGCTAGCATTTTCATTTCTACGTGTCTGCCTGTTTGGTGACATCTCAAGTAAGCTATAGCTATTTTAAAAATTTAACAAAGTTGGGGTTTCCCAACTCTTTTTTGTGGTAAATGTGATATTTCATTTAACCATTGAACATTTATGCTAGTCATTTGTTTCCCAACTTTTAAAAAAATAGCTTATAAGCTCATCTAAATAAATGCTAGGTTTGGCCAAATAAATGACTTTTGTACCCATACAAATTTTATAACATTGTTATCATAAAAGCCACAAAAAGCTCGAAGGCTATCATAGCTTATAAGCTTTAAAAAATAAGCCCTCCCAAGCACCCTGTAAGTTTGGCCTTGACAAGTGTCCTTCAATCATGTAATTTTCCATTCTATATCAAGAACTTCCATAATTTCTTTTCATGTATAGAGCAGGAGCCTGGTACATGTCTTTAATATTCAGAGCTTTTACCAGAACTTTTACCAAATTCTTCATGTTCGAAGTCTTCTATTTGAACATTCCTCTTTTCTTTTTCCCCCTTGTTCAAAAATAATCTTTACATAGGTAGCTCTTGTCCGGTTAGTTACAATTCGTAGGTTACAAAAACCGAGTGAACATACAGGTGGCATTCATCAATTATTGAGATGTACTTACCAGGAAACTTGTTGCAGACTTCTTCTGAGTTTTATTCGATTCAAACAAGATGTTTTTCTGGCAGGTGGATTTAGATAGAGAAAGTATTGGGAGCAACACATTAATCCTCTATAATCTGACATCATAGGATAATATGGAAATCCAGATCTTCTTGAAATCAGGAAATTTATCATGAGAGCACAATTCAATGGATACATGACTCAGTTTTGGAAACATAAGAAAGATGCAAGGACAGGATTAAGTGCCATATTATGTCTAATATGTTTTCGTGATTTATCATAAAGATGCATGTGTGCTTAGATGCCTTACTCAAATAAAATAAAGAAGGAATTTTATTTATGTATGGCCATGGTAATTGACAGAGCATTTACTGTATGGGCTTTCTCATAGAATAACTATATTCCGGAGTGGCAGTTCTCTAATGATACACAGGATGTTGGAATGGCTTGAGGTTTCTTAGAAAACACGTTAAACATAGGTTGTCGTAAAAAAAATTGCATGTCACAAATAGGATGTGAAAGGGTAAAGGGTGCTAATATTGCATCTCCTCCGCTTGTAACAATTACGGTTAACACAGGTTCAAGTTCTATGTAATAAATGAATTCAATTTTGTATTTCAATTCTGTACATATAGTCCTTCCGTTTAACACAACATATGTTTTCTGTTTTTGCTATCCCACAGGGGTTTGATTTTTCATCGAGGTCAATCTAATGTTCTGTTTGTTCAAAAAATTTCCCCGAGTCTTGACAGTTGCGAAGTAGTCTCATTATCTTACTGATGCATTACTATTACAGGGAACAAACGCCTCCTCGTCAGCCTCATGATGATGTATTAGACTCAGTTCGTTCTCTCAGATTGAAAGCTAAACCTCCTCGTAAAGTCTCCCCCGCAATGAGCAGTTTACAAGGTTACTATGGTTTGACTCCCCCAAGAAAGGGCCCATTAGCCGAAGGCACTGAGATGGCCCTGTACAAAACTAACAGAACTCTCAACTTAGACGATCGACCGCATATCAAAGGATCTCCAGCTACTGATCCAGGATTTGGCCGCCACAGAAAGTCAAGGAGTTTGGTTTCACTGGAAAATGCTGATAGATCATCTGAGGACAACGGTGAGGCTGATAAATCTATCAGGAGACGCCCGAAGGAAACACCTGAAATTCTAATGGAGGAAAGTTCCGGGGGTTTCTTAGGGAGAATAGGAAAAGGTCTTGCTTTGAGACCGAAGTTATTTAGTAGGATGGATGGGGATGCATCGAGGCAGAACTCTACACCTATTGGCGATTTTTTGAATGATGTATTTGTTTCTGTTCGAAAGTCATCAAGCACTTCAAATTTGCAAGAGTCTGAGAGTTCGTCGTCCTCTTCAATATGGTCAGCAAGCAAGTGGCCATCTTTGAATGCAGATGCAATTACTCGGCCGATTTTCGATGGTTTGCCAAAGCCGATGACCTCAAGATGGAACAAAACTGCTTTGGATTAGGTGATTTCTGTCCTTATTCTTAACTTGTCTTTAATCTGACAAATTGGAGAGGTTTTTTTGTATCGAGCCTCGAATTGAGCAAGGCTTGTGTGATATATATTATTTGGGAAGAGAGAGAGAGGGAGAGGGAGGGTATACACGGAGTTAAATAAAAAGTAGTCAGGTATGTTCAAGATGCAGCTGGCCTGAAGAGAGATTATATATTTATCGATTCTTTATCGCACTATTCTTGTATTGTACCAGCAGTTGCTTGTTATTGTTGTTTTAAAGATTCTTTTGTAAAAATATACAAATCGTATCCAGGTTTAGCTGGTGTAGCACGAGTTTGTTAATATCGACATCTATACGTAGATTATTCTTTTAGTCCTTCAGATAGTTACATTCCTGTTGACCGAAATTGGTGTTCATGCGTCAGATCTGCATTGCACATGTTTGAAATGTCAGAAAGCGGTTATTTGTTTTTTTATTTTTTGGAAAATTATTTGGCAATACAAAGTTAGTACAATTCCTTGGTTATCAAATCCTTTGCCGAACAACGTTTTAGGGCTTAAGAGCATCTCTAACAGTTTCCCCATTTCTCACTTTTGGAGAATTTAGTTAGGTTTTTGACCCAACAGATTCTCCATCTTATTCCCCAAAATAGTGATGGAGAAGAAAAAATGGGGAAGCTTCCCTAAATCTGCAGCATTCTCCAAATTTTTGGAGGAAAAAATGGATTCTTCAAAATGGGGAAGCTGTTGGAGTTGGTGTAAAAATTAGTTGGAGAATATGACTTTTGCTTCCCCATTTTGGAGAAGCTGTTGGAGATGCTCTAAGAATTTTAATCTTGTGAGAAAACTTGTGATCTAGCATGTTTGACCTTGGGGGTATCCTAGTGATGTAGTATGGATCCTGTCAAAATCACCTCTATAGGAGTGGGTACTAGAGGGGGCTTACGCCATAAACGTAATTTTTTAATTAATCCTTGAATCATTCGTAAATGGTATAGATCACCTTTTTTTATCGGCGTGTTTTGATAAAGTTCTTTTCCATTGTGGTCAATAGGATTCCTATCGGGACTAACTCTATCGGAGTGGGTGATCTACGTCATAATTGCTCTAAATAATGAAAGTGTGGGTGATCTACGTCATAATTACTCTAAAGGTGTTTGTTTGCATGCAAGTGAAAGATGAAAGTGAGAAAGTTACTTTCATTTAACAATTAAGGTGTTTGTTTTCATGTAAGTGGTTATGAAAGTGAGATGTAAGAAAGTTGCCACATAAGATTTAATGCAACTTTGACTTCCCCTAAAAAAGTGGTGAAGTCACATGAAAGTGACAAAAAGGTAAGTAATTTAATTAAATGATTTTAGTTATATTTTTTAATTAATCTTATTTTGCCACGTCATCTTCACATTGCACTTTCGATAATAATTTAATTTTTCAAACAAACACTGTATTCCACTTGCGTGCTGACATGGATGTAAAAGTTATTTGTAAAAAAAAATAACTTACATATTTTAAATTCACTTTCGGATTGCCAAACACCCCCAATGGAGCTACATTTCACCATGTTCTATTTGTTACACTATGGTAATAGAAAGCACTTTTGTCTTTTCTTCGATTATTTTTTCATCGTAGTTATTGTAGTACACTAGATAAATACTCGGTTCTTTTAGGGTCTACCACATTATCTTCCTCGACACTGCATATCAATTTATACACGGGAGACACTGCATGTACATAACAATTTATGAAGAATATGTTTTGGTTATGTAAATTTATAAGGACTTGGCTATAAAAGTATAATCCTATAAAATATGTTACTGACTAAATTCTTGTTTATTAACAAAATAATGTGAAGATTTATGCTTATAACCAGGTAATCCTAGATGGAATCAGGTTGAGATTTGGCTTTGAAGGGAAACGAACCATTTCTATTCGCATTGAATACCAACTAGTGTGAACACCGTGCAAAGCGTGACATATTTTTTTCTCTCACTACAGTAATCCCGGGTTTAAAATGCCACCATAATTTTTTGAATTGCTATAGTATCCCGCCTCTGCTACAGTATTCCCGTGTGATATAGCAATTTTTTTTAAAAAAACAAAGTGTCTAGTTTCATGATTGCTACAGTAATAATGCTACTGTAGCATGAATAGAGAATATTGGGTTCTCTCATTTGTATAGGAGTTTTGATAAGTGACCCAAAATATAGGAACAACAAAGGGGATAAGTGAGTTGTCCCCCTCCTATTGCATAATGAGCTGACCATCATTAATGATGGCCAGCTCATAATACAATAGGAGGGGGACACCTCATCTGTCCCTCCTGTTATTTTCATATTTTGGATCATTGGGACATTTCTTTGTATGGAGGAGTAGGTTGTAAATTAGTGCCTGTTTGTTTATTTCCTAAAAAACCAAAAAATAGAAATAAAAACTAAGAAATCTCAAAAACTACAATTTTACACATTTTCATCCCTAAAACTCACCCGCAACATCTAATAAAATATTATTTTTATCCAATAACTCATCCACCACATCTAATAAAATATTATTTTCATCCAACAACTCATCCATCACATCTACCATATTTAATAAAATATTATTTTCATCCACAACATCACTCAACTCATCTCATCTCATATTTAAAAATCACTCATATCATCCAATAAGATTGTGACAACCCATCTCATCTAATTAACATTTTATTTTTTGTTTTCCTCCCAAAAAGCTAGGAAAACAATTTTCTTAAGTGTGGGTCACATCATCCAATAATATAATGACAACTCATCTCATCTATTTTCTTATTTTTAAGAAATAACCAAACAAAAGAAAACAACCTATTATAAGAAATATGTTTCTTATAATTCATTTCCTTATTTTTTCCGCCAACCAAACAACATCAAAACAAGTTTTCTTAAAAAATCACTCACATCATCATATAATAAGGTGACAACTCATCTCGTCTCATTTCCATTTCTTTGATTTCCTTCTTTTTTTAGCCAACCAAACAATCCTAAAACCTATTTTCTAGAAGAAAAATGATTTAAGGACCCAAAATATGGGACCAAGGGAGGGGACATGTGATGTGTTCCCTCCCTATTGCATAATGAGTTGGCATGAGCAACTCATTATACAATAGGGGGTGCCATATTTTGAGTCCCCGTAGCAACACTCTTCTTAGAAATATGTTTCTTTTTCTTTAATTTTTCTCTTTTTTTAGACAAACAAACAGCCCCTTAGATGGAATCCTGCACGAAATAAAGAGGGGAGAAAAACTATTTAAATATTCCTTGAGAAATCCATCGTAAAACGTGAAAATCAGATCGAAAACAGGCAGTTCTTAACGGGTCCGCAGTTAAAACCCTGAACCCGTTAAAGAAATATGTAAATACGAATTAAAAAGTTTAAAGGGGGAAGGAAAAATCCAAAGGGAAAAGAGCAAGGAGCTTTTTCCGATGACGTCAGCACCAGCCCGGTTCAGTATCGCCGATCTCGCCTCAATCCTCCCGTCGATGAATTTCGTCGATATCGCCAGTTCTCGGTGCGTAGATTCTGAACCCTAATTTGGTTGGAGTTCTTTTGTTTTCGAAGAATTTACGCAAAGTACAAGCGATTTCGAGCCCTAATTGATTCCCATGCTTGGGTTCCTCTATGTTATGCTAAACAAGAAAGGAACTTGAATCATAGTTAGATCAAAAAATTAGAATTTTGGTCCAACTACACCGATCCAGTATAATTGTGTTTTTGGAGATTCTGTTTTTTTTCTTGTTTCTGAAGAAGTCTATAGAAAATCAAGCGAATTCAAACCCTAATTATAAAAAAAAAACTTGGTTGCCCAAAAGAAGGTAACTTGAGCGATATTTATGTGTTATGGAGCTTGAATCTCTTTTAGGAAGAAAAAGGAACTAGGATATGACTATATACATTCTATTGCTGAGCTAATTAAATCATGTTTGTTGATGCTAAATACGTACGTTAGTCGATGAGCCTCGAAACTCCTGCTTTAGGTATGTAAATTCAACACTAATCTTCACAGATCTATTTTTTGTAAAAGCTGAAAACTAGATTTTAAGTCCAACTGAGCGTAAACCTTCATTAGGATATACATGTATCAGAACTTCTTCCTAGGAAATAATAAGCAATCCGATGATAACTACTGATGAAATATGCATCCAGTGCCCTGAATTCATTTTTAGAAGAACTTAGCTTGCACAGTTTCTCCCAGAAGAAAAGATACTTGACCTGCACTCTTGATTATTCTTAACTATGGTCTAGCGTATCGGTCAACTAAATTCAAATGTTTGTAGTTTTTGCTATGCTTTCTCCACCATCATGTAATTATTGAGCGATATATTGTAGATTTGTGGTCTTTTGTGAGAATAAGTAGGTGTTATTATTTGTTAGACTGATAGTTGTGGAGCATTATCACATTTTTGAGGTTAGTTGAGTTATTAGGAAAGGATAGTCAGTCAGTCATCCTGAAAGGGAAAATAGTATTGTTGATCATTGTTATGCTTTGAGCCCATAGAACAATTTCACTGGGCATATTTCGCATTATGCATATGCTCTCTTGTACCCTATTCTCTTTGGAAAAACCATTATCGACATTTTTTAATACAAATATTTTACGAGAAAAATAAAATGGAACTGATTCATTAACAACTTTAAATTAAACTAGTGCAAGTTTATAAACAGCTTTAATTAAACTAGTTCAGTAGAGATCCAATTGATGTGGCTTCTCTATTATATACGAACGATGATGATGCTTTAAAATAATGCCACTGATCTTGCTTTTTTTGTTTGACCTTATGTACCAACTTTTAGCATGTATTCTGTTTCATTTAGGCTTTTTTTTGCCACTTAAGGAAACAACCCTATGACATAGAATACTGTTTGGGAATTAGAATATAGCTGATTATCTGAATGTAAGATTCCATGAACATTCTTCAGATGACTTCAAAATGATTTTGGCAATTAAAAGAGAGTGTATGTTGTCCATGTACCAGAACTTTAGCTTATGTTAACTGAGGAACTAAGTTCATTTTAAACTTCTTTTGCAACCTTGTTAAGGTACATAATCAGAGGATAACGCTAAGGGTCATGATATCATCAGATGTTGATCAAGCTGTTTGCCTGTAGATATTACTTAACAAAAGAGATAAAATTTGAATACAATTGTAAAGGCAAGGAGCTCTTGGTTTCAAGTATTTTTTTTTCTAGCATCTTATTGTTCTGGTAATGAGTTCATTGTTTGCAGGTCTTGTATTTGTTTGAAGGGAAGGAGATATCATACGCCACTTAAGCCACTTAAGGCAATCCAGAAACCCCAACTAGCTCGAAGTGTTTTCAACTCGTTTGGAGCACAAGAGGCAAAATTGGGCAAGGGTGAAATGCTGAAAGATAAAATGCTTACTGACTGTGGAAGCGACCAGGAATGTGTAACTGGTAACTATATTTTCAGATCCTTATTATTCTATATATTTTTTGAAGGTTTCTTTTTTACTTTTCAAGCTAGCAATACAGATATCAGCTTGAACCTGAATCCTTGCATGTAATCTTTGCCACCGAACCCAAGCAGGCAGGTTTTAATTTTATTCAAGGCCAAACCCTAACAAGGAGAGCCCAACTCCAATCCAAACCAAAATCCACCTATCAACCAATGCATTTATACATGTGCTGATTTACACTTTTTATCAAAAATAACTTGAGACTTGATAGTGATGCACTTATTAGAGTTCTTGTTCTCTATACAAAAATATTTAAGTAGCAGACCTTTAATAACATGTATTAGCACTGAAATATATCTAACTAATATAAGTTACCTTAACGTTATAAAAGATGACAAGATTACCTTTTGCAGGGTTTAGATATGGTGTAATTTTAAATTTTTATGTCATTAAAAATATTTTTGCAGCTGTATTAAATTAATTTTTCTGAGGAACATGATTGATTACTTTGGTTGTAATATTTCTTTTCCTTTAAATAGAAAATGATTAGTCCATTAATGTTGAAGCACAACTGCCAACCCATTTCACCCACCTGGAACTCAGTGAAGTGGTTCAAACCTCTCAGATCGCATAAAACCTATGTAAACTTTCAGATTTGCGTATTTAAAATGTCTGTAACCTCTCCGACCCTACTGATTGACACCCTAGATAGTCTGATGAAACTCACTTTTCCAATCTGGAACCAATTTAGTGGTAGTTTTGAGACTTTACTCTTGTTATCTAGAATCTAATGATGGACATTCTAACCAAATTGGACGCCTTTTTTTTGTTGAACTGCTGCTACCTTCCATACTTATGGACGAATGTCTGAAATTTTGTTTTAGTATTCCTTAGACTAGAAAGTACTTCTTTGTTTCATGTTTTTTGCATGTGTGGGCGTTAATCTATTACTTCCTCTAGTATGTATAAAAGAGAAACTTGTAAGTTTGGTAATCATATAAATTAAAGTACCTTGACGGCTGGACCTAAGTGTCGTCTGAGAAATATACCAGAAGTAACTGGCAGCCATTTGGAAATTTTGGGAATGTACATTAACAGAGAAGCATCCTGTAAACCTTGAAAAAATTCTTATCTGACGTGAGGGAGAAAGTTTCATAGAACTTATTTCCTAAATTATCAAGTACAAGGGTCTTGAGAAAATTATTGATGAATTTGTGAATAATGCATGCACTTTACGTATATACACATACTTACATTCAAGACATTATTTATAAGTGTTATGCACATTAGTATATGTTTTACGATCTATTAAATTATATAACTATAAAAAGACATAACTGTGCAGACTGGGAAAGCCTTGATAAAACCCTGGTCCCCTATTTAATTGTGTATCGATTTACAAGAAAAAGGATAGAATAAATTGTTAATACTTAAGAATCTCACGTCTAATGAAAGAAATGATTACTAATTTTGTCACAGACATCAGTAAAAAATTGAGGGTTCGTGGGGGTACTATTCGATGAAATTTAATGGAAATAATATTTAAATATTGGAATCACCAGGTTATATAAATCAATGTACTCTTTTATTAACAAAGAATGGGGACATAATGTAATACATCCATAAAACATAATGAGTCATGTTGGCAACAAAATTCTTCATGATATTGACATGGAAAGCATGTATTCAAGTGCCAATTTTACATATCATACTCATGCATGGTTGCATCCTGTGTACAGCTTAGGGTGCCAAAAAAAAATCCGTATCCATGCACATATGCTTAACCATTAGGATACTAATATGGATGCTAAATATCTATATTCTATAGGATACATTTATGGATATACAATGAAATATCCAAATCTGTATCTAAAATATCGAATATATGTGGATCGTACATTACAATTGTTTTGACCATTAGATTAATGGATTTAAGATTAAATTTAGTGATCCAGAGATCTAATGTTAGCTTTTCCAATGTACGGAACATATTAATTGACTCTTTTGTGCCATATGCCTTTATGTTATACAAATTTTTTTTTATTTCTCATATCCGTTTTGTATCCGTATACATTTCCTCTTATTTTATCCATCTATGTGTTCTATTTTTGCGGATATGGATGAGTTTCCTTAAACTGAGACTTGCCGTTTGTATCCATATCCTTTATTGGTAAGAATATAAGGAAATGGTATCTGTATCTGATCAATTTGCATTCATAGTACTGCTACTATCATGACCATTGGTATTAGGGCTAACTTTCAAGCGCACATTGAAAAGTGCCCATGCACGAAGACACAACACGTTTGGCTTATCCTCCATACTCCATGCCGACATTTGTGTAGGGGCAAGTAGGATATTTAATGAATAGGCCACTTAGGCGTTGTGGAGCAAATAGGATATTTTACAAATATCCTTTGACATCTAATCAATTTATGCATTTGATCTGTGTATGCTATTTGTAATAGATTACTAGTGTTTAATCTGTGTATGCTGGCTGCTAGCATTTAATCTGTGTATGCTATTTATCATAGACTCATCATGTAGGCTGTCTGATTACTGCGTTGTATTCTAATATGCGCTTGAAAGTACATGTATTATTCTAGTAATGCATCTAAAGGGTATGGTTTAATGGTCACATACATGCTTCACGCTTGTTTTCTTCGCCTTGTGTGCATATAAATGTTTGCTAATAGTCTTCTTCCACTCATATTTAGGAGGAATAGTTGCACTCGGAAAGTTTGATGCTCTTCATATTGGTCATCGGGAGCTTGCAATAGAAGCATCAAAGATTGGATCTCCATTTCTTCTTTCTTTTGTAGGAATGGAAGAAATATTGGGTTGGCCATACAGGTATTTGACTAGAATATTAAATATAAAAGCATGTCTTAATTCATGTAATGTCCTTTTCATTTGTGTGAAATATATTATGTTGAAAATTTTTAATTTACAGATTATGTTCTCTCCACACTAGATATAAAATTAGCTTATATTTGCCTGTTCTCAGCTTCTTATACTAAACATTATGATTTAGAAATAGACGCGAAATTTTTCAGCTTAGAAATTAGATGGTATACGAAGAATCTGAAACTTTCATGTCAAAAGATTAGCGGCTTAGGAGTTTTTAAATAAAGGAGTTTCATGAAGTCTCTTGTTCTGATCCTAATTCAATTTGAATTACTTCATAGGCCTCCAGTGGTCGCAAAATGTGATCGAAAGCGCGTTCTTTCCTCTTGGGCTCCTCTCTGTGGCAATGTAGCTCCCCTTGAATTTCAAGTTGAATTCTCAAATGTAAGGCATCTAACTCCTAGACTGTTCGTTGAGAAATTGTCAAAGGATCTCAGGGTTAGTGGAGTTGTTGCAGGTATCTGATGTACATATTACTTAAATCTTTGTCAATACAAGTTTCCTTTGTCCATTTTTTTTTTTGTTTTTCTTTCACAGAAACCGTCTTTGAAATAGGGTCAGAATACTGAAACCACTGTTCTAGTTCAATTAATGCAGAAAACCACCTTTAAAGGGGTTCTGGTAGCAAAATCAACCATTTTGCCAATCTTCCGGAAATCCCCAACATGCACTTTAAAAACACATGTGCCAACAAAAATTTGGTTAGATTTGGTTAAGAAGGCATGTCACATGTCTGGCACATGTATTTTCTATGGGCATCCAATCGAAATTTTACTCTAAAATTAGTCAAGGTGGTTCATTACTACTGGAACCCCCCTTTTCTGTATTATTGAACTATGAAGGTGGTTTGTATATTCACCCTATTTTAAATATGGTTTCTGCAAAAACAGGTATCTTTTTTGCGTTGTTTAGTGATTGCATCAGTTTAAAACGGCAGGTGAGAACTACAGATTTGGATATAAAGCATCTGGAAACGCACAGGATTTGGTGAAGCTATGTAAGGAGTACGGATTACATGCTTGTATAGTAAGCCATGTTATGGACAAGACTCGTCTACCTTATAACGGTGCAATAAGTAACGGCATAAATCCTAATGACAAGGGGCAGGTGTCCTCCACTCGTGTTCGCCATGCTCTTTCTATAGGCGATATGGAGTATGTGACTCAACTTTTGGGACGAAAGCATCGCCTTGTGTTGATGGTGAACAAAGAATGTCGATTTTCTAGTAGCAGAAGGATTTTGGCCCCGAGATCATGCTTATTAAATCAACCTCCAGGAAACGGGAAGTATGATCACTGTAGTTTTTTGGTAGACAATTTGATTGTAGCGAAGTGCAGGGTGGTGCTCGATGACGAGAATCTCGATATAGAATTATATAAGGAAGGCATTCAGGATGTGATTCATGATGGTCAGTTGATAAGTGTGGAATTTGGCTGATTGAGATGGCGTAAAAATGACGCACTAAGTTATTACTATTTTATTCAAAGGCTTTGGTTGAGCTGGAGGATAGAACTTTAATCTCCAGGGAACATAAGCAACAGTTATCCTGCAATGCAAAACGAACAAATGAGAGGATGCTCAAATAACAGAATATTTAGGCACAATTTTTAGATGTCGAAGAAATTGGGCCGCTCGAGGAAAGCAGGGTACGTTATTTTGATATTTATTTAATTTTTACCGATGAATAAATTATTCCTTCTCGGAGCTTATATTCTGCTACAATGTAAATACATTCTTAATGAAATTTGAGATTTGGTCATAGATGGTTACTTAATTTATTAGTATTATCCTATCTCTTCACTTCAGCATCAATTTGTTTTCCGCAGTTCCTGCTATCACTGTTATAATTAATATATTTATATTCCTCCCAAGTTTCTAACATGCATTTTTTTTTATTCTTCTTATAACTTGACATAATTTGTTCTGTTTGAGCGGATGCAATCATGAATCATCACACAATTAGACTTTAGAATGGGGTTTGTGAACGACTACAATTTCTTTTGGGTATTATGAAAAATGCGGTGGTTGGGTTTGTTCAAAGAACCAACTTTATTTGCTTAACAAAAAGTTTATTGAAAACTTGGATGTCACCCGTCCTTCACGTGTCTATGCTAATTGGTCTTTACATGGCCGAAAGTTCACTAGAAAATTCAAATAGAGAGTGAAAGTATGAATACACCACGAGCGCTAATCAGATGGTCAAAGAAATTATTTTTATCACATATGGTTCACATATGCGTATATAAATAGTATGAATACAGCACATGGGCTATGACTGATTCAAAAGTAATTCATAGTCCTTGAGATGATAAAGTAATTGACAGTACTAAATAATAACAACCAAAACTTAAAGAGCAGTGGTTGGGTATGGGGATGGGCATGGGTTGTCCCTGCGCATACGTATGGGTATTGGTATATATGTGGTATGCAAACGCTTTGTATATGCATTATGCAATGCCTGTGTGACTGACTGTGCATGTATGCGTGCATGCCTTATGTACGTGTGTACGTGCATTCGTCTGTTGTGCGTGTGGCGCGTGTTGTGTGCGAGCGTGCATACACGCGTGTACATGTACGCACACGTGTGTACATGTACGCACGTTCAAGCACAGGTGCGCGTGCGTGGTGGTCAGGTGTTGGCATCGTTATGGGTGTGTGTGAGCAAGTATCTGTAGGGTGTGTAAATGTGCATTTATGTCTGCACGCATTAGCGGATGTCTAGGCATACCTCTTTGGTGGGTATGCGTATACTTGTCTATACGTGTGCGCATACTTGTTATGGACATATGCATATGCGTTCGCATGTGGCGTGCATGTTATGGACAAATGCATATGCGTTCGCATGTGTCGCGTGTCTGTGTGGTGTGGGCTCAGGCTGGGATACTGGGGGTGTGCTTGTCATTGAAAAATAATCTCAACAGAAACAAGTGCATACATTAGTTTCATCTCCAGATTAAATTTACTTACATGTAATTCACAACACATTATTTCTAATCTCGTTTACAAACAGCTGCAGATTACCCTCAGCCTTGGACCTTCCCTTCATCCCCATCACCTTCTCCCTCAACCCCAACACCCTCTCTTGTATCCCCTCTCCCTCTTCATCCTCCGTGATCACCTTTCTAACACTCTCCTCAACTTCTCTCCTCTCGAGTCCCTCGATCTTGACCCCAATTCGCCAGACCTTAACAATATACTCACAATTCAAGAACTGATCACCTGATATCGGATAACATACAAACTTCTTCCCATATCTGATCGCCTCCACCGTCGAATTCCACCCACAGTGCGTCACGAAGCACCCGACCGCTCCGTGTGCAAGAACTGCTTCCTGTGGGGCCCAATCAACGATTTTCCCGCGTCCTGTGGTTCTATCAAGGAAGCCCGACGGAAGCCCGTCTCTCCACGGGCCGTCGTTCCTCAAGGCCCAAAGGAATGGCTGCTTCGTTGCCTCGAGCCCAAGGGCGAGCTCGGCCATTTTCTCGGGTTCGATGGGCCCGACCCAGCTCCCGAACGATACGTATATGACCGAGGCGGGACGTTGTTCGTCTAGCCAATTCATGCAAGATTTGTCCTCCTCCCACATCGTTGGATTATCGGTGGATGAGAGCAATGGGCCTACTGGGAGAACTGTTGGGCCGTGATCGGACAGTTCCCTGGGCTGGCCGTCTTCCTGAGGGAAGGAGTTGATGAGGAGGTAAGGGAGGGTGTTGGCCCGGCCCATCGTGCGTAGCCAGAACTTGAATCTTGATCTTTGGGAGGATGGGTTCCCAACTAGCCATGGAAAATCCTTGCTGCTTAGTTTTGGTTTGGTCGGTAACAGAACATTTGATAGGCTGCTTCGTTGCCTCGAGCCCAAGGGCGAGCTCGGCCATTTTCTCGGGTTCGATGGGCCCGACCCAGCTCCCGAACGATACGTATATGACCGAGGCGGGACGTTGTTCGTCTAGCCAATTCATGCAAGATTTGTCCTCCTCCCACATCGTTGGATTATCGGTGGATGAGAGCAATGGGCCTACTGGGAGAACTGTTGGGCCGTGATCGGACAGTTCCCTGGGCTGGCCGTCTTCCTGAGGGAAGGAGTTGATGAGGAGGTAAGGGAGGGTGTTGGCCCGGCCCATCGTGCGTAGCCAGAACTTGAATCTTGATCTTTGGGAGGATGGGTTCCCAACTAGCCATGGAAAATCCTTGCTGCTTAGTTTTGGTTTGGTCGGTAACAGAACATTTGATACCTTTTCATCCTCATAATTATCATTATCATCTTCTTCTGGCTTTATAAACTGTTGATTGTATTGATGAAGGGGCGTACCTGTAATCAAAAAATACTTAAAAACTTCTAACGGTGAACTTAAAAGAGTACTGACGCACTTATGCATGGGTGTACGTACGTATGTATTGAAAAAGGAAAAAAAAAAGAAGAAGCGTTTTTATTCCATAAATACAAATGAACATACTAATTATAAATGCATATAACTAATATGAACTTTAAAATAACTTGGAAATTAATGATTTCAATAGCAGCTACTTGTCTGCAAAATTTGAGTCAACAGAAGCAAATGAAACAATATGTTAATTGTTGCGATTGTGTCTATGCTGTCAAAGAAGAGAAAATTAGTATAAAATCCGAATATAAAAGGTCAGAAAATCAGGCCTGAATGGGAGCAGTCGTGATTTCACTGTCCTAGAAGATTGAGGACCCACCTATCGCCCTGGCGCAGTCGATCCTCTCTCCCCTAGCGGTAAAACCCCCCCGGTTCGGCCGGCCTTCGTACTCGAGCGAGAGTAGCAGAGCTAAAACTCAGATGAAGAATGTTGCCCAAAGAGAAAAGTAAAACTTTGCAAAAATATTAACAGAGGAAGAGAGGATAGAAGAGTTGCTGTGTATCTTCCGAGGAGGAGAACCCCTGTATATATAGGAGCTGGAGGCCAAAGAGCCGTTGCTCCAAATCCGCACACGTTACACAGGATCCGCGTAACTCCCCGCGTCATCTCCGCATCCGTTACGAACGAGTCAAAACGTGTAAAACGTGCTAAAATAAAATCTGGAGAAGTAAAAGGAATGCGTGCGCGTGTGACACGGCGTGCGCGCGTGTGTTATGCAAAGCCCACAAAATCCAAAACACTATTCAAAGCCCAATAAGGGGTGAACCAATATAAACCCCTTACTATTCATCTCATTTTCTAACGTGGGACTATTAACAAAGGCAAAATCATCTTTTCATGAACAACATAGCCAACAGTCTAGTCATAGAAAGTAGTAGTACAACCCTTTTAATATATTTATCAGTATTCATTAAACAGACATGTAGCTTAATTAATCCTTAAAGAATATTTGTTTTCTATCAGCACCCAAGAAAATTTTATAATTCTATATAAAGCTCTGAAATCTTAATATTTTCACCAACACATTAATACCTCACTTTGGCGGAAATCAGCTCCATGTTCTGAAATCTTAATATTTTCACCAACACATTAATACCTCACTTTGGCGGAAATCAGCTCCATGTTAAATTTCATATTTTACCTATATTTATATGTTAGATTAATACCTCACTTTGGCGGAAATCAGCTCCATGTTAAATTTCATATTTTACCTATATTTATATGTTAGAAGGGGGAGTATTTTCTCTATTATTTTAAGAACTTAATTAAGTACTCATGAGGAATAACTTAATCGACTATTTACTTACTAACTCAATTAATAACGTGAGGTGGTTTGTTTGTCAGTATGAAAATATAAAGTATGAACGCATACCTTGTCTTTTATTTATTTATTAATACACGTATATAATTTGAACACGGGGTCGGCAGAATAGCGTCAAGTTCTCACATGCTTTGTCTAATCATTGCATCCTCAATTTGGTTAACTAAAATTATAATTAAAGAGAGCATGAAGAGAGAGAGAGGGAGGGAGATTGTATTTAATAATGTCCTACGGACTGGGTTTAAATGTAAATTAGTTTCAAGCTGCTTTAGGTATGGTAGTACTCTTTCCTTTTTTAAGGAAAAGTTAAGGAGTTTATTTCTTTATTGCTTTTTCTTTTTTTGCTAATTGATTTCTTTAGTACTTGCTTGTAAAAGCTTCTAACTACAACTTGAGGTGGTGATGGTACTTGTACATGACGGCGATCTTAATCTCAATAAATGACAACCAAGCCTCCAACGATATTGCAACAAGGGACCCACTATAGTCACACCTTCGGGCATATCCTCCTCTAGCTACAGGATAAAGGCCCCTCTAGCTACAGTATAAAGGTTTCACTTAAGATTTTTTTTAAAATCTCAAGTGGGCCATCTGTACTGTAGCTGGGGGTGGTCGGAGGTGTGTCCGAGGGTGTACCTGTATCATTTTTCTTGCAAGAAACGTTTAATTTCACAAAGCCCCCAACTTTTGGGCATTTCTCCGATAACCACCTTAACATTCGAAATGTCACAGAATGATCCCCTTAAGTTTTGGGGTTATCAGGAAACCCCTTCAACTTTATATTTTTTAAACCCTCGCCCACCCCGCGCGCCCTCCCTCGAGGAGTTAGTTTATATGTCGGGGAGCTATAGTTTAGGTGTTTTATAACAATTTAAAGGGAGTTCGTGATATTTTGAAAGTTAAAAGGGGCTATCTCAGTAACACCCACATTTATGGGGCTTAACAAGCTACCTTTAAGTTGAATGAAATTTAGATGTGACACCGCAAATTTAGGGGCTTTCGTGACAATCTTTTTTGTTAGTCTTTCTTCTTCTGTGTGTGTGTTTTTTTTTGTGGGGGTGGTGGGGGACATTTTGAAAGTTAAGGGGATTATCTGAAAATTTACCAAACGTAAGAGGGTTCTTTTGAAATTCACCCTAAAAAAATTCCACTAGACTTCTAATTTTATAGAAAAGCTACATAAGACATTATGCAAGCTTCACAATGAAATAGTTAGTAAATTATATGTTATATTAAATTATTCATTACAACTGTTTGGTTTCCTGTTTTTGAGGGAAATGCTCTCTTGAAAGTCCGCTGAAAGTGCCAAAAGTATCACTTTTTGGCAGGCTTTCAGCCAAAATCTTCTTTTTTAGAGGCGATTTTAGCTGAAAGCCTGCCAAAAAGTGACACTTTTGACAGGCTTTCAAGAAAACATTTCTCTCAAAAACAGGGAACCAAACAGCCCCTGTTGAAACAATCATCCTATCCAGACTCCATATTCTCCAACAATAAATGGACTTCACGGACGTAAACCTACCAATAAAATAGGCAACTTGTCGTCTTCACATAATAATAATTTAAATTTAATAATAATCATGAAAGTGCTGACACGTATGACTGCGATGATGGTTTGTAGCACCTAGTTCACTTTATTTCGACTGAGAATTAAATTTTGGTACGTGTCGGACGGTTGAAGTACATATAATTATCATTTTATATGATCATAGATTTTCCTCAATAGTTTTTCTTAAGAATAAAAATTTTCATCAGAATTAATTTTATAGAAAATTTAATTTACCCAGCTATGGGCCTGTTTGGTTTTCAGAAGAATTAAATAGTATAATAAATAAAAAAAAGTACCTTCTAAAATATAAAATAGGAAATAGTGAAAATTATACTTTTCTTAATATATATATATATTGAAAAATAACTTAATGACCCAAAATATGGGACCAATGGAGGGGACAGGTGAGGTGTCCCCTCCCTATTGCATAATGAGTTGGCATAGCCAACTCATTATGCAATAGGGAGGGAACACCTCATCTATATTTTGGGTCCCCGTAACAACACTCATATATATTTTTTGAAATAGCGAAAATGATACTTTTAATTTTTCATTTCCTTTTCTATGTTTGAATAGCTATCAACAATTGTTAGGAAGTAACTAATAAAAAAATATTAATAAGAAAATTATTTCTTTTCTCATTCATGTACATTTCACATATTTTGGGCTACTTCATTCCGAGCCTCGAAGAGTGAGAAAAAAATTAGGAAATAGAGAATTTCATGGAAACAAACATGTTTTTCTCTCGAAAGTAGTAGAAGTAACCAGATCTACTTCGTTTACTTCGGCTACTTCATAGCTATTTCGGTGCAAACAAACATGCGTCAAATATCAATACAAGACACACCAACATCCTTACCACAGTCAGAGATGATCCCTTGCCGGATGAGCACCGGTATCGCGGAGAGAACCCGATACGTCGCAAACATAGCAGGCCAGAAACCCGCAACCCGAACCCCAACCTGCTCCGCAACCCTAATCGCAGCCGACGCCAGCAAGTCCACCACCAAACAAGCCACCTCCCCTTGAGACCGCAGCTCCTTCAGCACTCTCCCCAGATGCTCAGGCATACTGTCCTCCATTGCTCTGTCGATGGCGAAGAAATCTTTGCTCTTGCTGCCGAGATTGGTTGGGATTGAGATGAAGGAGATGAGCTCGTCGGCAGTGGTGGTTAATTAGGCTCGTGACGAAGTCCAGCAGGGCCATGAGATGGGCCCCTGGGCAAGCCGTGACATGAGGTGAGCATTGGAGTTATGTGGCCTCGTGCTGGGTATGTTATTAGAACTATGATAGGTCTCGCAGTTATCTTCATTCTTTCTCTTTTTCTTTTTTTTTAACTCCTCCTCTGTCCTTCTTTCTTCTCTCCTCTCCTACTTCCAATTTATTTGTTGATTCTTGATTTATATAGGTAAATTATAAGAAGCCTCCACCTTGTATCATGTTTTCCACGACACCCCCCTCTCATATGAAAAAAGTACTTTAATTAATAAAAGACCCTTAATCTATGGCCGAAACGAAACCGTTCATTTTATAAAGAACCTTTGCGCTCTTTAGTAGACGTCTTCCTGCAAAATTCTACATATTTTAGAAATAGAAAGGAAGAAAATAGAGACAAAGTAAGTTTTCTAAAGTAAAAAAAAAAAAGAAAAGAAAAAAGAATCTAAACTCTTTTACACCACCTAGCTAGAATCTACGTACAAACTCCACTATAAAACTAAGTGGTTTGATCAACCATGGAGGACGGGATTTTTTTGTTGCTTCTTGATCTATATGTAGTCTCCAAGAAACGCTCTAGTCCCAAAATTTTCATTTTTATCTTGAAATTGTTAATTTTTTTTGTTTGGTTCAACAATAAAATAGGAAATTAAATCTTTTTTTTGAGAGAGAAAGGATGGATTACCGTTAACCATAACAGTAATCCAGCCAGCTAATTTAATAAAACCCGGTTGTTACATAAAGATACACATCCCCAACCAAGAATGTGTACACAAGTTCAAATAAGACTTACAAACCAAAAGAACTCCTGCTCCTCGACAGAGTTTTACCCTTTCCCAAAAAGGAGAAAAACCTATCAACTACTACCAAGATAGGAAATTAAATCTTAGACTTTGTAATCTCATGTCTGGTTTAAAACCCCAAAAAATAGGAAAGCAAAACTAGAAAAAGAGGAAGATAGAAAGAGGGAGAGAGGAAGGAATGTTGAGGTGGCATTAATGTGTAAGAGTTCCACACAAATTCTCTCTAAAAGTGGGGATTTGGCAAATGCCAAAAATTGGGTACTTTTTACATTTTGTAGAAACATTTTTTTTTTATTTTTTTCCTTTTTTCTTTTCTTTTTTGAAACGAACAAAGTATATGGAATCATTATACAAAAAGTACCACTTTTTATTCGTATAATTACTTCTCGTCCTAAATCCTAGAATTTTTAATTAACCAAACAGGCCCTAACCCACATGAAACTATCAACTTTATAATGCGTTTTTTCCCTTTAAATGTTCACGTAGATGTTTTGTGCTTGAGCGGTATGCCGGTATCTAAAAAGATGTCTCCACTGAAAATATATCTAGCAGACCTTGTTTATAGCATTAAATTGAAGAGAATACAGGAAAATTGACAGAAAATAACTTTGGACTTCCAGCGGTCGACCGCGAGTGGCGTGACGGTCGATCGTAAACATGCACGCAAGCTAAAAAAGTCTCTGGACTTTTCGCGGTCGACCGCGAGTGGCGCGGCGGTCGACCGGCTAAACCCTGTAGTGATATTGAGTTTCTGCCGTTTGATCTGGTCGACCGCACGTGGCTCTGCGGTCGACCGCGAGTCGGGCTGGGCCTGAACTTTGGTTTCCTGTTCGCATTGGGTTTGTGTTTTGATATATAATCAAACACGTTTTTTCTAGGGTTTCTATCAGAGATTATAGACTGTACTAAGCATATTGAGAGGGAGAACTTGTGAGCAAGTTGAGAGATTTGGTTTAGGGTTTGTGTGAGTGATTTTGTGAGATTACAACCCTTTGTACTCTCCTTGATTTAGTGGAATCTCTCAATCCTTTCTCCGTGGACGTATGCAAATTGCCGAACTACGTATATCTGTGTTTGGTTTGATTTGTCGTATTTGGATTAAATTGTGCTCGTGTGTGGCTGATTCTCTTCTTCCGTGATCACAGATTCGTTCAGTGTGCGAGCATGCTTCCACAAAGGCACGCAACAATTGGTATCAGAGCTTAGATTTGAGATCTAGGGTTTTGGATTAGGTGGAGAAAGATTCAGTTTGGAAGCTTGGTTCTTGGAGTTCTAGGCTTCGGTGGAGATAGAGTTTGGAGTTACCGTTGAAGATCTCGCTTTCATCGTGTGGTTAGGAGTTCTATTTGGAATCCAATTTAGGGTTCGGTTGGGTAATTCCTCAATCCTTTTAAAGTTTGAATATTTCTTTACAATTTGGAGTTTGTGATTATGGGTGAAGAAGTTGGTGAAAGCAGCAAGATGGCGGGTACAGTTCAAGTTGAGTTTCAGAACATTAAGATTAGTGTGGTGAAGTATGACGCTGATATCAATTTTGATTTGTGGATGAACGATGTTCAGGATGCGTTTAATGCTCAGAATTTAGAGGAGATCATCATGATCCATGAGAGGCCACCAAAATATAAAGAGGCGATATGAGAAAAGATGAATATGAACGCTTATGGGGTGATCAGGTCTTGTTTGGAACAAGAGCTAATATATGATGCGATTGGGGTGATGTCTGCAATGAAGATGTGGGAAATTCTCAACAACAAGTGTAGGCATATAAAATTGCTTATAGGTCCCTTGACACGGTTCAACACGAACTAATAAACCATCAGGCGACGTATCTAAGCACGAACGTCAGTCCACAACACCGAAGCCAAGTGACACGCAACGAAGCGGATTAACAAGGCTACGAAGCTGACGAACCGCACGTGAACGACGGAATGAATCCACTCGCGTGCGGAATCAAATCAACGGTTCAGAGAGTCAACGAGTCATCCAACCATATAACGGATTCGAACTCAGACACCAAAGCCGATTTACTGCCTAATCGGGATCCAGACTTCCAAATCAGGAATCAAGTCAACGAATCGATTTCAGACCAATCAACCGCATAACCGAATCACGAACGAAGCGGATACAAGAACCGAAACAACCGAACGACGGACGCAAAACCCGGAGTGGCTCGGCCAAGGCCGAACCACCCTGGGGTGGCTCGGCCAAGGCCAAGCCACCCTAGGGTGGCTCGGCAGCCAGAGGCCCTCAGGGTGGACTCGGCATGACGCCGAGCCAGCCCTGGAGGTGCCGCCCAGGATCTGTGGCCAAATGGCAGAAACAGAGCGCAGATGCTGGTTGCCGTTATAAGTACCGGGTATTCATCGATTTTGAGATTTTTGGGAACAAGCTTTGGGAGCCGGAAACTCTGCCATTGGGACTATTTGGGTTTTACTGAATTGTGCTTTAATCTGCCGAACCCATCACAGAAGCAAGTATCGAGAATAAGTCTCAGGATCGTACGGTGTGTTGGTTTGGTACGACTCCTTATGAACTTGGTCTGTTGTCCGAATTTGACGCGGATTGGTTTCTGGTTGAGAATATATTGCCGTTTTTGTGTGGTGTACCGCTATTATTTCGCTAGGTGGTAGGTTATATATACCCGTTATGTCACTGCGTGATCCCGGATGCGAGAGTGGCTCGGTTGTTGCCACGGGTCAGCCTCGCGATGCTGGTAGTTCGTTGTGAATATATCAACTCTAGGCTTCCCCTTGATAAAGTGAGGTGACTCTTTGGTGATATCAGGTGGAGGCTCGGGTATTTTTGTTTTGTCACGAGATGATTAAATAGGATTATATATTGTTTGAACTTTTTTTGAAGATTGTGGAGTGTGCCGGGGATCTGAAATAGATGTATTGTGGTGGATCTTCTGTCGGAAATGTAGTCAGATAGCGAATGGACATGCAATGGAAGGAAAGCAGACGGAAGTTTCCCGGCCCCCGAGACGAATCTGGCGACCGACAGTGGCGAGGCCACAATGCTATCGTATGGCCCGAGATCGAGGAGGTCGCAGCCGCGGATCTGCGATCCCAGGTCGTAGAGGAGGTCTGACGTATGGAGTTCGACGCGAGCAGAAGTAACGAGAGGTGACGTGTCCCTCTCGGTGGGATACAGCTCCCCCCGTAGGAGATCGGCAGAGAATTGGCCAGAAGGTTCTCCGTCCAGGGGGAGGAGAGCCGTTGGGTGCAAAGAAGGTTGAAGCGGCCACGACGCGACCTACCCGGATCCGGGCGGCGATAGTTGCGTCGGTGAGTCCGATGCGGCGCGTCTAAGGCGGTGCTCCGCCATCGAGAGGGGTGTGCTCTCTCTAAGAGTGAGCTTCGGCGCAGGCACGTTCAGACGCCGTCTGTGAGCAATTCGCAAGCCCTTGAGTCTTGACGGATCCGTACAACGCGATATGAGAAGAGCGAGCCGACGCCTCTCAAGCATCGAAGGGTGAAGAATGGTTCCTGCCCAGCCATGCACGATGAGAGTGGGTCCGGGTCGAAACGGAACCGTGACGGCTGGAGGAGCGTGATCCGCAAGCCCCGGCGCATATAATCCGCGGCGCAAGTACGGACCAAAGCTGAAGAAGCCCGTAGATAGAACCTGCAAAAGGAAGGTGACGAAGGAAGCCCCGACCGAACGGTCGGCCAAGTCTGGAAGCCAGGGGAAATAAGTCTGAAACTGGCGACGCAGGCTCAAAGCAACAGACCCTATAAAAGCCGATCAAGAAAACAGTGGCGCATCATGAACAAGCAAGAGTAAATAAGTCAACAAAGAAAGGAAAAAAAAAAAAAAGAGAAATACAAACTGGCAAAGGAAATGCAAAGACCAAAAAAATAAATACAAGAGTAAAACAAAAACTTAAAGAAAATCAAATAAAAAAAATAACAACAATGAAGGATTCAAGGAACAAGCAAATTAAATAGTTCGCCAAATAAACACAGACAAAACACATGTAGACATCAAAAGCAAACAGGAATCCCACACAGGAATAAGAAAATCAAAAGGAATGATTCGACAACATCCGAGGAAGTCCACTTCAAAACCAAAAACCAGCAACCAATCGCAGGCCTCTAAGCAAGGTCAAACTCCGGCGAGTAACACAAAGTCGCGGTTAATTCCTATGGCACTCGCGGGAGATCATGCAGCAA